AATTGGCTATCCTAATCAACCATGTTTGGCAATAAAATAAATGAATCAATCAATCAACCATCTAAATTTTACTAGGAATTGATGAGTTCCTAATTAACAAAGGAAACATAAAGGAAAATCCTAAATCAACTAAGAAAAGCAAATCAAGTCTTTATGAGAAAAGAAAGCACAAAATTAACAAACAAAAAAAACCCTAAAATATCCTCTCTCTTTTTTTTGAAATTCAGACTTTGGAGACTTTGGAAAAATACAAAGGAGAGAGAAATTTTGTAAAAGAAGCCAAAATGGACAAAATTGCCCTTATTTATTTTTGGATTTCCTAAGGAATCCTTTACATTTGCATGTCTTTTTTGAAAAGAGGTTTTTCTGTCTTTTTTGAAAAAACTTTTTTTTTTTTTTTTTTTTTTTTTTTATTTTTAAAACCTAAATTTACTAATATATATATATAATAATAGTAGTGGACAGATTTGCGTAGTCCACTTTACACCGTGCAAATTAACAAAGCAGTCACGAATTGTAATAAGATTAATAACTTCTTGTAAACAAAACTCTAATACATGTTAGAAAATTGTTAGAGTCCAAACTTTCATGAAAGAATTAACGTAGCTATCGAAGAACAAGGGTTTGAAGACAAAATATCTCATCTCATGAAGTCAATCCCTTTGTTAAAGTTAGTGGTCCCTAATTTGAAATGTTCAAACTCTTAGGCACCACCTTCGGGGCAGTCCATTTCATTGACCTGGTCAATGCCTTAACACAATATGCTTAATTATATTCCAAAATTGTTTTTTTATATTAAAATTTTATAATCTTTTCTAATAACATTGATTAATTATGCGATTAGTGCTTAATTTTCTAGATCATGCAGCATACCTACCATAAAGCACATGGTACATGTACCTACGACTTAGTTAACAACTATACGTATGAAGACATATCTATGCATGCATTTTTGTTATGTACAATGAAAACAAGGTGACTTTGTTTGACACAGGATTCAAAACATGGCATCTGGTTTCAGAGACATTCTTTTTGTTTAAATATAGGGTGAGTTAATTGATCATATATGCAGAAAACGTGAACTAGTTTTGGATTTTGGACCAACTTCATTTGTAAACCTGCTATCATTTTCATTACATGCTGTCTATCTTGCCACTTGATATATTTAAACAGCTGATGTGTTAATTTGTTAACTTTCATGGGTTATAATAATAACAATATTATTATGTTAAACTGTTATAACTCCCCATCAAGCTAAGTGCTGCCCATTGGATTGCACGCTTGAGTCTCCATGGTAATGGTTTATCGTTCTGGATGGATGAGGGACCTCCTTCGCTCATAGATTCCGTTCATGATGATTGGCCTAATTCGCATGTTCTTTCTTAAAATCAGTTGTAATGTGGCATGTGTGACACTCTTTTTTCTTACCCGAAATTTTGTTATCCCATATAATTTTCTTCGAGAAGGTTTCAACAAGGCCACTCTTTTATACAAAGATTCTTGTTTTGTGTTTTGCTGTTGGTTTTAATGAAATATCGTTTGCTCAAAAAACAAAACTGTTGTAACTGCAGGCCAAACAAAAAATATAAAGGAAAAAGAGAATGACCTATAAGAAAAAAGAAAAAAGAAAAAAAACAAAGAAACGAATTTTAAATCGTGTGCTTCCAAAAATATTAAATCGTATCTCCCTATGTTTAGACAGTAATTAAATCTTCAATTTGATTTTAGTTTGATATTCTTCCTATATTAAAAGCTTAGAGAATTTTCAAAACAGAAGTCAATAATCCCAATTTAATCAAGTCAAATTGTAAACCATCAAATAGAAATAAAAGTCAAAATGTACACAAGTATAATGTGGATGGACCAAAACACAGAGTGTAGAAAAAGTTGGAGTCTTGAGATATGCATGCATGATTGGTGCAGATTCACTTTCCATAAAATTTTCCATTGAATTTTCTCATCAGCATTAAATTTTATGGAAAAAATATCAGAAAATAAAAAGTCCCCCTCCGGCTATATATAAGAGGACCAAAGCCACACAGCAAACACACAACAAATTGTCAATAACAATGAGAAGCGCAATGCCTAGAATTCTTCCACTTGCTGTTTTGTTTGTTGTTTTTTATGTTTCTGCATCATGGGCAGCCTCTGGTTCTGTCTATGACAACTTCGTTCAATGCCTGAACACAAAAGCAAACTCATCATCTTCAACCCCATTGGCAAACATAGTTTTTGCCCAAAACAACCCTTCATACACATCTGTGCTAAGAGCCTACATCAGAAATTCCAGGTTCAACAAAACCTCAACGCCAAAACCAGTGCTCATAATCACCCCCTCAACTGAATCCCATGTCCAGGCCTCTGTCCTCTGCGCAAAGCAGTTTGGCATACAGCTCAAAATCCGAAGCGGCGGCCACGATTATGAGGGTGTTTCTTATTGGTCTGATCAGACTTTTATTGTTCTTGACATGTTTAATCTCAGGAGTATCACTGTGGACATCAAAGACGGTTCTGTTTGGGCTCAGGCGGGAGCCACACTTGGAGAAATGTACTATAGGATTTGGGAGAAGAGCAAAGTTCATGGCTTTCCTGCTGGAGTTTGTGAAACAGTTGGTGTTGGTGGGCACATAAGTGGCGGCGGCTATGGAAACATGTTGAGGAAGTATGGCCTTGCTGTGGACAATGTCATTGATGCTCAGATTGTTGATGTTCAGGGGAGGCTTCTTGACAGAAAATCAATGGGAGAAGACCTCTTTTGGGCTATTAAAGGAGGAGGTGGAGGAAGCTTTGGAGTTATTATTTCATACAAATTGAAGTTGGTTTCTGTGCCTGAAATTGTTACAGTGTTCCGGGTGGAGAGAACCTTGGAAGAGAATGCAACCGCCGTCGTTTTGAAGTGGCAAGAGGTGGCCCCAACCACAGACGATGGTCTTTTTATGAGGATGCTTTTGCAGCCTGTGACTTCTAAAGTGAAGAAGGGTGAGAAGACTGTTAGAATCTCAATTTTGGCCGAGTTTCTTGGCAATGCCGACCAACTTGTGTTATTATTGGGGAAGGAGTTTCCTGAATTGGGTTTGAAGAAGGAGAACTGTATGGAGATGAGTTGGATTGACTCTGTGCTTTGGTGGGCTAATTTTGATAATGGGACTAAACCTGAAGCTTTGCTCAATAGAAATCCCAATGATGCAAATTTCCTGAAAAGGAAGTCTGATTATGTTCAAACCCCAATCTCCAAAGATGGATTGGAGTGGTTATGGAAGAAGATGATTGAGCTTGGCAAAACAGGGTTGGTGTTCAATCCATATGGTGGGAAAATGAGCCAAATTCCAGCCTCTGAGACGCCTTTTCCACACCGTGCGGGGAACTTGTTCAAAATTCAGTACTCAGTGAATTGGGAAGATGCAGGAGAGGATTCAGAGAAGAATTATCTCACACAAAGCAGGAGGCTTTACAGTTACATGACCCCATTTGTGTCCAAGAACCCAAGAAGTGCTTTCTTGAATTACAGGGACCTTGACATTGGTATCAATACATTTGGTGACAATAGCTATGAAGAAGGGAAGGTTTATGGATTGAAGTACTTCAATGACAACTTTGATAGGTTGCTGAAGGTGAAGACTGCTATTGATCCAGAAAACTTCTTCAGGAACGAGCAGAGTATCCCTGCTCTTCCAAGTAAGGCATAGGAGAATTTAGCTGTTGACACAGCTTGTATTGGTTATTGATTCATCATACTGTAAGTTTAAAAAAAAATAATGTCACTTAGATGATGAGTATTTGGTTACTTTTGATTGAGCACTTGTCATAGTGAATATACAAAATTTATACAATTTACTCTTTGATTTTTAGATTATGAGAGATGTGACAAGTATAAGAAAATTACAATCAATCTCATTCATTCTAGTTAATGCAAATGGTAGGACACTAGCATGATTGAAGGTGTCTACCTTTCAAGTCTGATTTTAACAATTTCTTTCTGTCCTCTCTGATTTGTTTGCTTGCTCAATAATCTGAAAGAGGCTCTCTCTCAACCACTGGAAAAATAAAAAGAACTGAGTTTATGGGCTATGAGTTTTTTTTCTCTGTTTTTTTTTGGGTTTATTTCTTTCAATATTCTCTATGAACAAAATTATCCATGCAGAATCTTTACTTCAAGCTTAAAAACCACTTTTCAAAGTCAGAATATATGTTCCTTTCACAATGGCATAAAGGTAAAAGTGACTGAAAATAGCTATCATTGAAAACTCTTATCTGCAATGAAGCTTCGGCTGGTTGGTAGGTCTTGACTTTATGGTGTTCACACGTTTAGAATTATGCGTGTGGGATCCCATCCACTGCTAGAGGAGGAGTACAATTATACAAGGTCTGGGCCTCAGCCTGTTCCCTATGACTAAGTCCTCTCCCCATAGAAGAACTTTCATGTGGGATGCCTTGCACATGACCCTTTTGGCCTTTTTCTTTTGTGGGCTATCACCATGTGCTTTACTGTTATTGTTGTGTATCCTGAAATAGTGAGAACATTTTTGCATTCACTTTAGTTATGGATACTCCAATATTTTTGTAACACTTCGTTAGGATTATGGATGGTTGGTTTTCCAAATTGTTGGTGATTTCCAGTCAGTCATCAAGACTCCTTGTGAATGCATTCAACCTATTTGATGAAATTCAGAAACCAATTTGCATTTGATTTAATTACTAAGCTCAAATTGAAGAGATGCACATTTAGCTCTCTGACTGTGGCTTGCCATTTTCCAGGGAGTATATGTTTGATATGCTTTTGGTCCTGTAAATCAAAAATAGTTTTAACTCAATTACCACTAGCTTTTCCATGGCCTGCTTATGCATACGCTTCCTACTTTCAGATAAAGGCTTGAACCCCAAGTTCATAAGGGAGTTAGACATGATTCTAGATTACCTGGAATTAATAAATAATGTAAACAGAACTTGTTTGATTGGATGGTTAAACACTCAAACTGCAATCTTCACATACATTTTGTTTCCTACTCCTGAGCTCTCCAGAAGTTGCTGACTTTGGTTGCTGATATTGCAGGTGGAAACTCAGACGTGAATAGCGGGTCATGTTCCAACTTACCAATGGGGAAGCTATTCGTTCTACTGATATGCTTGCTTATCGGAGGTTGGTAACGAGAAATGTTTCCATAGTCAAGACTAAGATCCTTCATAACCTTTTTGTTTTGTTTTGTTTGATTTTTAAATTCTCTGTTTAGTAAGTTCTTACTTAGCATATTGTCAATCTCTCAATTTTGTGTGTAAATTAAAGTCATTTTTGGCTGGGGTTGAAACTCAGCATCTTAACTGACAGAAAATATCCTGGTTTTTTTGTTAACGTAGTTAGTTGAGGGCGGCTTAGTTGATTCTCCGGTTAACGTAGGACAGATATGTAGGCCATGCGAATAGTGAGAATGCGGCACTTTATAGTAGGTGATGACAAACTGCTCATTGCGGCCATTGTAGAAGTGATGAGTTATTTGCTGATGTATCCAAGACAAATTCACGCCATATTCCAAATTTCATCCATGAACTTTTTCACTTGAAGTTTCCACTTATACTTAGAAATTTTCAATGGCCAATGTCTGCAATGTTCTTTAATTTAGAGTACAAAGTTGGAACATCAACCAGATAATTACTAGGAACGTCAACCATATATAAACGACTGAGCCGGTACCATGTTATATGCAGAGGATATAATCATGGTGTTCTTCAACGTAAAACTACTTCCACTACTTGTCATCCCTTTCAACTCAGTTTGGTCCACAAGTTCAAATTCAATATCTGAAAGCTTACTTCAATGTCTTTCCACTCACCTAAAGCATTCTAACTCAAGTAAGGAAATAATCTTAACCAGAAATAGTTCTGCTTATTCCTCAGTCTGGCAATCTTCCATACAGAACCTCAGATTCTTGAACAATTCAACGCCAAAACCTGAAGTTATCGTTACTCCTTTCCATGAATCTTATGTTCAAGCAGCAGTTATTTGCTCCAAGAAACATGGCATACAAATAAGATTCCGAAGTGGGGGCCATGACTACGAGGGCCTATCTTATGTATCATATGATCCTTTCATCATCATTGATCTCTTCAATCTTCAGACCATCCATATTGACATAGAGAATGAGAGTGCATGGGTCGCGTCAGGTGCTACACTTGGACAGTTGTGTTACAGCATTGTGCAAAAGGGTCTAGCAGCTGACAATGTTATTGATGCTAGGATTGTTGATGTCAATGGCAGACTTCTCAGCAGAAAATCCATGGGAGAAGAACTCTTCTGGGCTATCAGAGGAGGAGGAGGCTCAAGCTTTGCAGTCATTCTGGCATGGAAACTTAGATTGGTTCCTGCTCCTCCATCTGTAACAGTTTGCAAAATTGAAAAGACCATGGAAGAAGGTGCAACCAAACTTTTCTCTAAATGGCAAGTTATAGCACAAAAGCTCCATGAAGACCTTTTCTTATATTTGGTTGTGGAAGTTGCAAACGAAGCCAGTACAACTGATGGCAAAACTATTAAAGTGTCGTTCGATTCATTGTTTCTAGGACCCATTGAGAAGCTTCTCCTTTTGACGCAAGATAAGTTCCCGGACTTAAGTTTAGACCGCAGCAATTGCACTAAAATGAGTTGGATCCAGTCTGTGATGCACTTTGCTGGCTTCCCAATAAGCGAATCCTTGGAAGCTTTACTGAAGAGGACTCAGCCATCTAGGAGCTTCTTCAAAGCAAAATCGGACTATGTGACGCAACCCATTTCACAAGCTGGCTTGGAAGGTATATGGCAAAGACTACTTGAAGTAGAGACATCCCTGTTGATATTGACACCTTACGGTGGAAGAATGAGTGAGATCTCTGATTCAGAAACTCCTTTCCCACATAGAAATGGAAGTATATTTGCAATCCAGTATTTGGTCACTTGGGATGATGACAAGGAAACTGAGAAACATATTAGCTGGATGAGAAAGGTGTATGCCTACATGGCATCACATGTTTCAAAGTCCCCAAGAGCTGCCTATTTGAACTATAGGGATCTAGACTTGCGGAGGAACCATGATGCTAATACAAGCTATGCACAAGCAAGCATTTAGGGTTTGAAGTATTTCAAGAGTAACTTTAGGAGACTTGTTCATGTTAAGACCTTAGTTGATCCTGGTAACTTCTTTAGAAATGAACAAAGCATCCCTGTTTTACCATCTGGGCAGAAATAGAGTGTAAATAATAAATAGTTGGGTTTGGCCCAATGTAGAAAATAATAATAAATAAGTCTGCAGCCTAAACCAATGTATTCAACACTTCTCCAAATGCTTAGACCATATTCCATCACTGTAGGAGCATAAAAGAATATATCAGTGCTATTTTCTACGTGCAGATGCAGAATAATGGAAATTGTTGGATTTTAGATGCTCTGATAGCACTGTTAGGTTGTGTCTGAAGGGGTTTAGAATAATAGTACAATAATTGAAATAACGTGATTTTATTAGATTGGAGGAGAATAGTACATGGCTTTGTGTACATAGGATTACAGGCTATTGGCCTTCTCGTGGTGTAGCTATTGGGAATTGTAGGCTATTGGCCCTTCACTTGTGTAGCTATTAACTACTTCATATCCTGCTTGATAAAACAAGCCTTTATATGGCTATTGGCTTCCATGTGGCCACCTTGATGACTTAGATTGGTGAGCTCTTAGCTCCACTTTGTTGCTAGATTGCTTGCAAAGTTATAGGCATTGTTGCCGACTTGTCTAAGTTCCACTGACTTGGCTTATTCTTCTTAGCCACAAGTTCTGCCACTACTCCTTAGATTATATACTAGAATAAACTCAAAATCATTTCTAATAGGACTTGTCTAGGGCATGAGCTATCCTTCTGGGATATTTTTTTACCCCAAGCCGACATAGCCTCTTCTTCCACCAAGCTTTCTAAAATTGTGCAGATCCCTTTCAAATGCGCGCATTACTTTTAACAAAAATAAAGCAATATTAGTTGTATTTCTCATTTCAACACACAGAAAACAAAATGATGACAGCTTCATGGAAGCAAGTGCATCACTACTGCATCACTACTGGATCATATTTCTTTTTTTGGGTACACGTTTATGGAAAGTCTTTAATTAGTATAGAACTTCCTAGCAAAGGTACCCGCACGATGCTGCGGGTTTTAAAACCGTGTGAAATGTATACAAAATCGTGAAAAAATATATGAAAGATGATACTATTTATATAGACATGGAGATCTAAATAGTGGCATCATGCTTTATTTGGCAAGTTTATGTTACAAAAAATAGACTAATAACACATTTTATATGCTGCTTGTCATGTTAAAATATTGACTATATTTTAATAAACCAAGCAGCAATTAAAACATCAAAATAGCATCAAAATATCAGCAGTTTTAAGATGTTCATTGTCGTTCAAAAGAGTTTGGACAGGTCTTTACATATATATGCTACTGGGTGGTGGAAGGGGATTTTCTGCCTTGATGTAAAGGGGATCTTTCTCTTGATGGCTTTGCTATAGAGGTGGCTTCTGTTCTTTCTTGTCCTTTGCAGGGGTTTTAACTCTGTTGGTACAAATTTGGAGAATGGCAGGTGTTAGTGTAGATAAATGGAAAAATTTAAGCGAAGACCAACTACCATATCACAAAATTAAGTTACAAAATCCAACAGGACAAACAACAGTTTAGGTACATCAACCATTCTATTAATATGATGGACAAAAGTATAACTGCAGTCTATTTAATCAATTGATAACAAACTTAGAACAATTGTGACAATTTATTAAATAGGTATGAGAGAATTAAGCCAAAACACTCGAGCTTTAATAGCATCAAATCAATGGGTGTTTAATCTGTTGCTACAAATTTGGAAACTGGTAGAGGTGTTGGTGTAGACAAATGGGAAAATTTAGTGAAGACAATGGCTATTATTACAGAATTAAGGCCACAAAATCGACTGCACAAACCACAATTTAAATACGCCAAGCATTCTACAAATGTGGTAGACAAAAGTATAACCTGTCATTGCCACAATGAAACCAAAAGAGACCCAGACTTTAATAGAATCAAACCAAATACCCATAACAAAATCAAACCATGTGCAAGTTTGTTGTACAAAAGAATAGATGATCTATAGACACCTAAGGTCAAAACTGATACATGTATTGCCCATTTATAGGCTATGTTGATCTAATAGAGAAGTAAGCTATAAAAGCAGAAATAACCTATAAACACCTATAGGTTATATAACCCTAATTAACTTACTGATAGCATCAAGGGAAGCCAAGAGGACCTGTCCAGGAACTATGGCAAAGAATGCATTTCCTGCTTGGGATTTAACCAAAAGTCCTATCACTGATCAAATCATAATTTCAACCCCATCAAGCATAGATTTGCTAAGCTTTGATGCCATCTTTGACAACTACTCTCACTGAATTAGCAAAATAAAGTTGAAAGAATTGATAAGAAAAAATAAATTTAATGTGTTATAACTTATAACCATAAAAACTTAAAAGAAATTCATATAGTCTTCAGGGGAACCTTTCAAATTGATTCAGTATGAAATCTAACATAAAAAATCATAAAATAAACCTAACCTCCAACATAAAATACCCATTTCATATGAGATTTCCTTCCCTGTTTCTGCTTCATGTCACCTATATACGAAAGAAAAGATATCAAGAGAAATATTATTTTAAGCACAACTATGAAGGAAGAAACACTTTCATTGTCCACATCTCAATTCATTATAAGGTATTAAAATAAACCATAACTAAACCTAAAATTAAGGATTTAAAATAACAAATTTACAATAAAGATTTAAAAAAATAAAAAATAAAAACTTAAAATGGAACCAAGTGAAAGCAGAGAAAACTACAAAAGGCTACGGTGGAGCATAAAGCATTTAAGTTTTCGAGAGGAATGTGCAGAGAAATAGGGTGTAGAAGAACGTGTGGATATGCTGATAGGTTTTCATACTACTCCCAAAGAAAAAATTAGCCAAAATACAGACGCAAAAAATAATCTTAATCAATTCCAAATAATAGAGGTAGTGTTCTTAAAAAGAGAGAAGAATTAAAATTCAGTATTAGAATTCAGATAATGGACGTAGTGTTCAAACTTTGAACATCTCTATAGAAAAAAAGGTTAGCAATTTCGCAGACACATGTGAGAGCCCAAAATTCATTGAAACGAAACACTAAAGCCAAGAGGAGCCTTTATTCAGCAAAGTAGAGGCTTCAATTTTGAAGGAAAAAAAGAAAAGAAAACATACGTCTCCAAATCAACCGGTCATTTCAAGGGGATGCCTCTGACGCAGCCTCCTTCACATTTGCCACCAAAGCCAAACATCTAATACAAAATACGATTCAAATGATCGAAACAAAATTAGAAAAAAGCGAAATAAATGTGATAAAAAAGTGGGTCAAAGGTGGAGACCTTTGGCAACAAATTGGATTAAGCCAGGAGGAGAGTTGAGGAGGAACCACTTCCCCAACGCAAAACAACATTGACTACATTAGACACTGACAAATAATCAAAATGGGTACAAATTTATTAATAAGAAAAAATAGAGTATAAACGGCAGAGAGAACAAACCTCATTAATGGCAAGCACTTGGCCATTGCTCTTCTTGACCTTCTTCAGCTTCCTAAGGAAATACCTAATCCAAACAAATCAATCAACTATATTAAGTTTAACCAAATTCACCAATGAACATTTGGGATCATAAAAGCTGAGCTAGGGCTAAGGATTATACCAGAGTTTGGACTTGGCGCGAACCTCATTGGTGGCCCAGAGCTTCATTCGGTAAATCTTAGGGTGGTCAATAGATGCCGTAGGGAGCTTCTTCCCAACAACCTGGTACCGGTGGAACTGCAACACAAAAAAGACACCGTTAATTGCAGCTTTACTATTTGACACGCCCTAAGAGAAATATATCACACAAAAACAAATACCAAATTAAATGGAACCTAAGAAACTGTGAATATAATTTCTAGATATTTCTTTACCAAATTTCATACAACAATCCTTCACTTAAACTGACTGTTTGCAACAATACTAAGAATATGTTTGCAGATTACATATGCAATATTTGGCTAATCCATTTCACCAGTAGCCATATATTTAACTACATAAACTACGTCTAAAACCAAATGGGTATTCTTCAAGAATAAAACCAACCTTCTTGAAGCATACCCATCTAAGTTATAATATGCAGTGGAAAAGAGAATAAAAAGAAACCCCTAGCATCCCAGTACCCTAACATGGAAAAAGAAGTGCATAATTTAGAATTCTGTAACAGAAATTGTCTCATTAAATTAAACAGAAATAAAAAAAACAGTGAATTTAAGGCTGAGATGTAATCGACTAATTGGAAAAAAAAATTGAGGATGAGAGAACGATTGACAAACCTCTTTGCTAGTCCAAACGCAGAACCCTACTTCGTTTTTTCTTGTAGCACCTTCAAAGTCGGTCAACATTCTGTGTTGTTCTACAAAAGATATTTACAAACACAGAACGTCATAACATACCTTTATTGTAAATTTCTTCAACACAAAAAATCCAGAACCAAAATATTTGACGAAATTCTATTAAAAGAAAAAAAAACTGAAATTAAAAAGAGGGAGAGAGAACATTGTATACCGCAACTTCTGTACATATACACTGGCTCTGTCCCACAACAGCACCAAGGGCAATGGCAAGCCTTTATTCATGCACAAACAATCACCTGCCATTACCAGTTCAAAAGCATGTTCAATCCCATCACAGGGGAGAAATACAATCAAAATTAATAAAAGGGAAAGAAATTGAAATACAGTGGAGGCGATTAAAAGATGCAAACCTTGTTTCTATTTCAAAGTCCACGAATAGATGTAGTTGCACCATTTTGTTGTAGTCTTGCAATGCACAAAGTCATCAGCTTCACCCAAGCAACTCTGCGTGCCAATTCAAATCCACCATGAAACAATCCATAAGCTCAAACATAGAACCCAATCATATGATAAACCGTCACACAAAAGGCTTACTTTCGGTCCAAAAGGGCAATTCAAGGATATGGTTCTTACCTGAAATGCTTTGGTGAGGTTGCAAAATCACCTTTTTCCTCATGCTCAAACCCTTCAACAACCAAAAAACAATGAAAGGAAATTTTCATTGTAATTCCAAGCAAATGCAAGAAAGAAGAAAGGCACCAAATTTTCAATTCAACATAATTATAGAACAAAGACTCAAACTTTTGCCTTTATGTCCTTGAGTTTCCACAGAAACCCAAGTGATTTCAATAAAAAGTATAATGTTATTAAGTGGGTGACCTCAAACACTCTTATAAGCATAATTATTGAACTCCTACCCACAAAACAACAGTAAAATGTTTAAAAAGACGAAATTTTCTATTTTTTTCTTGCATTTTCTTAGCAAACAGAGGGTAAGTAGGTTTCTACATATTTTATAGTGTTAAATCATATTTCCTTTTAGATGCAAACAGATATTAAGCTCCTAGGGTTCATTATCCACATGCTCAAGTAGAGAGAGAGATCTTGCCTGCTTAATAATTTTTTGATTGAGATCCTCGGAAAGACCGCAGGTCCCAGACGATTTATCATGTCATCGTCGGATGGCTGTCGTTGAATCTCGAGTAGGAGCGATCGGGAGATACAACGGGTGAGGCATTCGAACCATCGGTCGAAAGACTACCTACAAAACATCAAAAGAAGACGTGCTTAAAAAGGAGGAAGAGAAAAAGAAAGACATATCTGAAAAATTGAAGAAGGAAACCCAACAAATACCAGCACAGGCACAAACGAAAGAAAGAGGAAGAAGACGATATGAGACAAAAAGGTGAACAAATAAAAAGAAGATTATCTGATGAAGAAGAGGACCAAATGGATGAACCAATTCACACCATAGCAACCACAAATGAAATCAATGGCCGCAAGAAAGCCAGATCAAGCTTCAACAGTGAAGCTCTCATGGGAGAAAGAGCCAATAAAAAAATATCTCCCATCCCCCAACAATTCCAACGAAAGGCAAAACCAGCTGGTTGGACTTTTCTCATCATAGAGTTTTTTCTCTCTTTTTTTTTTTTTTTTTTTTTCTTTTTGTTTTTTTTTTTTTTTTTTTTTTTTTTTTACACAACAAAAGAAAACCATGTTCAAGGAAAATTAATAATTAACTTTTTAGAAGCAAGACAAACGAAAAATAGAGCATGAAAGATGTGTCTGTGTGGTGGATGTACTAATATGATATGAAAGTTGATAAAAAAAAAAAAAAAAAACAGGAATCCAATAAATGTAGCAGATCAATTGAAGTATTATAAAGTGATTCTTTGGTTCTAACCTTTGTAAGTATATTATTGGATTAAAAGAGCGTTTTCAAGTTTTGTTGTCCTAGTAATTAAGAGATAAAGTGATTCTTCACTTCTAAGTATTATTTTTACTCTACTGATCAGAAAAGCTTTTTCAAGTTTTGCTTTCCTTGAGAGAGAGAGTGAGAGCGAGAGAGATAGAGAGAGAGTATTGAATAAAAAATTCCACAAAAACAAAAGAAACAAACAAATTCAAAAACCAAAAAACAACAGAAAATCAGAGTTAGGACCACTTTGAAATGTTTTGAAAATTTTCCACTACTTTAAATACCAACAAATTGCAATTTGCAAGCAAAAAAATGAGAGCATCTCATAAACGCTGCTTCAGAACACAGGGCCAGTGATTGATTCCCCACTGACCCACCTACACACAAAGAGAAAGACACCATGTTTTTCCCTCCAATCAATTACGCATTGTCACTCTCTCCTCATGTTGGGAGTTCTCAAGTACCCAATTGCCAAAACACTCAAAGGATTTACCAACATGTTCAGATATTGTAATCATCTAAACCCATCATTACAACAACAAATTAACACCAACCAATTGTCAATTGATGCCATTAGCTAATTCCTATGCTCTATTCACAAACCTTAAAACAATTAATTGGAATTTCAGCCTAGAAACTCACCCCTTGCTTAACAGAATTGAAAACACCAACCAAACTGCTCTATCCAAAGCAACAAAAGACCACCTGCAAAATATCAAAAGAAAACATGGTTTAAAAAAAGAAGAAGAAAAAGGAAGAAAAAAAACAGAAAAATCGGAGATGAAATTAGTTTGAGTATTTTATACATGCACAATCTTTTCATTAAACCAAAAAAATTAGCTAGAGCAAAATATGTACGGAAAGAAACCACTCTGTACGGATCCCCTCACTCAACAATGCTCTCATGATTCAATTACAAAGCATATGCTCTGATGTAAATTGTATTATAAATTACAGGTGCTTTAGACAGAGGAAGTGCAAAACCCAAGAAGGATCTAAAATGATCTACTTCTCAAAAGATTTACAAACATATGCACTTATATAGATATCCAAAATGACAAATTGAAGGAGCTTTAACATCAAATTAATATATATATATTATGACTCATAAAAACACCCACTTTTGTTTGCTTGGGTTAAGTAGTGTATATAATTTTTGGTTCATTTCAGAGAAAGATTTACTGCAAAGCATTTGAAACAGAGCAAATATAGTCCAAAAAGTCAGTTCCCTTGAGAATGCCTTTACCAGTCAAAATTTCAAAATCTAACAACAATAGAAACCCAATCACAGCTGCCTTCCCATTTATCAAAACAGAACAACACACTCATATATACAAAGGTACAAACTTGGACTGAAATAACACACAAAGATGCATAATTTCACTCACACAACCGAACCCAATTCCCTCCACTTCCTTTTATACCCCTCAAATTCACTAAAAGCAGAAAATTTAACAACTAAAGGAAATGATGTGATGGAGGAAAGAGTGATATCGGAGAGGCCAAGCGAGAAAAGAAACATAACATTCAACAAATAAGTACAAAGTCTTACTTGCAAAGACCTCTTCATGACATTAAACACACATATGTATGACAAACTCGTAGTTGAACATCAAAATATATATATCAGAGTACTGTTGAACTGATCTTTGCTGAAACAATTCATCGGAAAACAATCAAGATAAGTAAACAAAAGAAGAAAGAAAAAAAAAAAAAAAAAAAAAAAAAAAAAAAAAAAAAACAGCACACACCCATAACCACACGCAAACAGAAAATCAATAACATCTATTAGAATTATAATTCTGAATTCTGGAGTCATAAAAATAAAAATAAAAAATAATTAAAAAAAAGGAGTCTATAACCACACGCAAACAGAATATCAGCCACACAGACATCAATTACCAGATTGATGAGCAGACTGGGGGTTCTCATATTGATTACTCCAGTTCTTTTTCCATAGATCCTCCTCCCTGTAAAAATAAACCAAACTCAATTTCTGATTTACTTCTCAATTTTTCGACATGACAAATGAATAAACCAACCTAGAAAACCAGAAATCCTTTTATCTAAACCCGTGCGATGAGAAGGAGGATGAAGCGCATCTGGAACAGCAACACACGAACGCAACATCTGAGAGGAGAACCGATGAGATAAAAGACCAAAAGGGCGGCTGGATTTGCAGCGCGCCTCCCCAAACGAAAATCGACGGCCCCCCACGCATGCAGAACAGTGAACTCTGATCTTCCATGGCTGCCCCCAACCAGCCCAACCAACTGGTTCGAAACGGACTGGAAAGCTGAGAGCGAACGAAACGTTCGAATCGAAAGAGACGCGAATGGGAAGGGGCAAAAAGGGAACATAAGGAAAAATTTAATAAAGGGCAAAATCGACGATACACTATTCCTAAGCTACAGTCTAAGAACAGTGAATCGGTGGATTCAGTTTTAGTATATGTATAATTTTTGGGATCCTACCATTGAAAAGTTATCAATAGCCGCAATGTTCTATGAACTCATGGTGCCTATATAAGTGAGCTCAGAGCTCATACAATTCCACATGCTCAAGGGCTATTAGCGTAGGGGGAGGTTCAAGCTTTGGAGTCATTCTGGCATGGAAACTTGAGCTGGTTCCTGTTCCTCCATCTGTAAAAGTTCACACATAATCAAAGACCATACAACAGGGTGCAACCAAACTTGTTTCTAGATGGCAAGCTATAGCAGATACGATTCCTGAAGGGAATTTCTTGCGTTTGGTTATATAAGTTGCAAATGGAGCTGGTACAAATGGCGGGATAACTATTCAAGTTATATTCAATTTCTTGTTTCTTGAGACTGTCGAGAAACTTCTCCCTTGGATGAAAGAAAATTTCCCAGAGTTAAGTGTAGAGCAGACCAAATTCGCTGAAATGAGTTGGATTGAGTCTGTTCTATCCATGGCTGATATCCAAAGAAACAAAACAGAAGTTCTGCTTCAGCGGACTCAACAATCTAAGAGATTCTTCAAAGCAAAATCAGACTATGTGACAAAACCAATTTCAGAAGCTGGCTTGGAAGGTTTATCGCGCTGTTGGAAAAAATAATGCTCATTTGTGTGTAATGCTCATTTGTGTTCTACACAATTCTAGAAAAGTCAAGACTCTAAAAGATAGAGGTGGCAATGCAAGAATATTCTAGAATAAGCTAAATGCTCAAGGTGGTGGAACAAAAGCAATTGAAGTTTGCAGAACATTCTAGTACAAGACACATGTATGGCTAAGAAATGAAGAAGCCCAAGTTGGTGACTGTGCATGTCGGCAAAGGAGCCTATAAATAGGCATGCAACCACAATGAAATGTGGAGTGAACCAATCAACTCCCAACCTATGTGGGAGCACAAAAGCTACCCAACCCAAGTCATATGGAGGAGTCAACAAAAGAACTCCCAAACCATTCGGGAGCCAAGAGCTATCCAAAGCTAGCTATGTTATAGAGAGCAAATGAGCTCACCAATCAAAGTGCAAGGGCCAAATAGCCCAAACTAATCTAAGTGAAGGGCCAAATGGCCCAAACTATTCTAAATCAAGTGTAGTGGCCAATGAGCCAATAAGCTATGAAGAAGGCCAATTAGCTTACATCAAGCCAAGTACTATTCTCCTCCAATTTAATACAATCACTTTGTTTCCCCTAAAATTCTAACAGGCACATTATGCTTCAACTGGACACATTCTTGTTGATACTGTCACCTTTTGGGGGAAGAATGAGTGAGATTTCCGATTCAGAAACTCATTTCCCACCTAGAAAAGGGAACTGATGTGAAATCCAGTATTATTTCAGTTGGGATGATGACAAAGAAACTGGGAAATATATTAGCTGGACAAGAAGGGTGTGTGGCTACATGGCAGCATATGCTTCCGAGTCCCCAAAAGCTGCCTATTTGAACTACAGGGATCTGGACTTGGGGATGAACAAGGATGCTAACACAAGCTAAGCACAAGCAAGCCTTTGGGGTTTGAGCTACTTCAAGAATAACTTTAGGAGACTTGCACAAGTGAAGACCTTAGTTGATCCTGGTAACTTCTTTAGGAATGAACAAAGCATCCCTATGTTACCATCTGGGGAAAAATAGAATGTCAACAAGTAGATGGGTTTGTGTAATAGAATAAACAACAAATAGATAGGTTCAGCTGCGGTTGCTCATTTCATTGTACCAACCAATAATAGAATCGTTTGTTGCCTTTCACTTGCTGTGAAGATTGAAATCCATTTGCAAATCTTTAGTATGATTTTACTTGAAATAATTTGAAGATTTTAATTTCTGCTTTGTTTGTCAAACTATTTATTTATTTATTAGTAATGAAGTCTTCTTTGGTACAATCTCCCAAGATATTTCTGTTGATGCTCTTTTTAGGAGGTCAACTTAGAGAGAAGTGGATTGTCTTCAACAAGGGAGAAGGTGAGGACCTTAGGTAAATTGTGAGCTTGGGGTTCTGTGAATTCTGATATGAAGTCAGCAATGGTCTGGCCCTTTGTAGCTGGGCGGGGTTTGTAGTGGATATCAAACTCACCAAGTTCAATGACCCACTTAACCAACCTGCTAGAAGTCTTTGGCTTTTGCAATACTTGTCTTAGTGGCTGATTGGTTAGGACATGGATGGTGTGCGCTTGGAAGTATTGTCTAAGGCGTCTAGCTGAAACTACCAAGGCGAAGGCCAGTTTCTCAATATCTGAGTACCGAACCTTGACATCTTGTAATGTTTTGCTAACATAATGCACCAGGTGCTCAGCACCTTCATGTGATCGGACGAGCACCGAGCTAACTGTTGTGGCCAAGACGAAGAGGTAAATTGTGAGGGTGTTTCCAGGCTTGGGGGTTGATAATAAAGGGGCCCGGCTCATATACTCTTTGAGCTCGCTGAAAGCTTTGTCACATTCGGCAGTCCAGGTAATGCTTCGCTTGTTGCCCTTGAGTGCCTTGAAGAAGGGGGCGCAGCGATCGGTGGCCTTAGAGATAAACCTGGTTAGGGCTGCAACACAGCCGGTAAGGCTCTGGATGTCCTTGGCCATCTTAGGTATCTTCATGTCTAAGATGACTTGAATTTTTTCTAGATTGGCTTCAATACCCCGCTGGCTAATCATGAAACCAAGGAATTTCCCTAAAGCCACGCCGAAGGCACACTTCGTGGATTGAGTCGCATTTTATACTGTTTCAGGATGGTGAACATGGCAGATAGGTTAGAGATGTGCTGGGCAACAGTGCGACTTTTGACTAGCATGTCATTAACATAAACCTCCATGATGTTGCCAATCAGTAGGGCGAAGAGGCTATTCACAAAATGTTGATAAGTAGCCCTGAAGTTCTTGAGCCCGAAGGGCATCACCTTGTAGCAGTATAGACCACGATCAGTAATGAAGAAGGTGTGGGCTTGGTCATCAAGATGCATGAAGATCTGGTTGTACCCAGAGTAAGCATCCATTAAGCTGAGGAGGGCATGGCCAGCTGTGGCGTCCATAAGCTGATCGATTCGAGGTAAAGGGAAGCTATCCTTTGGACAAGCCCGATTAAAGTTTGTGCAGTCCACACACATGCACCAGCCTTTCTTTGGTTTGCAAACCATCACCAAATTAGCCAGCCAAGTGGGATAGTCCACCTCCTTGATGAATCCAATGCTGCTTAGCTTCTCCACCTCCCCCTTCATGGCCTCGTACCTCTCTGGGTCATAGGCGCGACGCTTCTGCCGAATGGGTCGGGAGGCAGAATTAATGCTTAGCCGATATTAGGGGATATGTCGGGCATATAATTGTAAGACAAGGCGAAGGAAGGCCACGAGGTCAGAGTGAAGCTCTTGGGAGAGGGAGGTGCCAATTCGGACCTGTTGATTCTAAATGTTATCATGTAGGCAGGCAAGCTTAAGGTCTTTTATGGGTTCGGCCTGCTGTGTAATCGATTCCTCCCTAGGGTCTTCAGGTCGTTCAGTGCCAGCTTGGGGAGGGGCTAGAGCCTTGGTTACTGCGTGGGCCTCACTCCTATGTTGGCGATTGGTGAACTTGACTGCTGAAGCATAGCAGCTTTTGGCGCCAAGTTGGTCGCCACGCACCGTGCCTGTGCCATAGGGGGTAGGGAACTTCAGCAGTAGCATATACTTGGATATGAAAACCTTCATTTGGGCCAAGGCTAGACTCCCAAGGATGACTTGTAGGTTGTGGGACAGTCAACAATAAGGAAGAGAGTGGTGACCGTTGCCCGCTGTGGTGCTGAACTAATAGAGATAGGGAGATGGATGCTTCCAATGGGCTGGACAACATCACCAGAGAAGCTCACAAGGGGTGTGATGCTTCGGTCGAGCAAATGAGCAGGGACCTGGAGCTCGTTGAAAGCATCATCAAACATCACACTGACTGAGTTGTCAGTGTCCACCAAGATACGCCCAACGTCAAAATTAGAAATGTCTGCGCGGATAATGAGTGGGTCATAATGAGGGAGAATAACACCACGTTCCTCTTCCTGGCAGAAGGTAATGAAGGCCCAGCCTGATTTTTGCGTCTTTGGCAAGCATCCGTACTCAGTGCTAAAAACCTGGTGATCATAAGTGGAGCAGATATAATGTTTGATGGAGTTGTTGGAGGTCCCAGCCATGGTAGGACCACTAGTCCTTGAGGAGAACAACCTTGCATGAGCATCTATACTACAATAGCCTTGTATTCTTGCAAGATTGATAGGATTTTTAGTACCTGCGCAAACAGGATTAAAATCACATAAAATACTTGCAAGAATACAAGCCTATTGTAGTATAGATGCTCATGCAAGGTCGTTCTCCTCAAGGACTATTTAGCAATTTATGTTAAAACAATTTCTAATTAACTATCTAAAATTGAAAGTAGAGAAAGATGATTATGAAATTGGTTGATACTAAAAATAAATTTAGTAAAAACAAATATGATTGAAGGAAAGAGTTTTAAAATACCAATTTATAAAAGCACTAGGGTTTCACCATCACCTAGCAATCCTATGAATTTTTACCAATTACTTATGATTCGCACATGCCACTTTAGAGGTTAGGTTTTCCTAATTTATATTCTACTTGGAACCTCCAACATATAACGTATATCCAACATGCAACCCTGTCCGGACGTTCGGATCAAATCTGAACATGAAATACTCATTAAGTTTTGTGAAAACCCTTTGAAAAACCATGCAACCCTTAAGATGTGGTGTTCATCTTAAGTAAAATTACAATTATTAATCACAAGAAGCCAGCGTCAATTTCAAGGAACCTTCCGACCAAAATTGCATCTAATTACTTTTCTAAAGATCCTAATGGTGATCAGGCATTAAGACAATTAGATAGTTTAAAACAGTGATTAACAATTCAAAGTATGCATGCACTCAATCACAAGCAATTAAATAAAAATCACATATTCATGCTAAGGTTCAAGGCTTCACCCTAGCAAATGAAATTTAGTTATGCATATTCATAATTGAAATCCAAGAAAATATCATTCGAATGAATAAGAATGAAAACACCTGAAAGTCGCAAAAACCCAAAACCCTAGCAAATGCTCCAAAAGCCAAAAAGAAGTTCCAAAATTTTATGTGAAAAGGAGCTTAAATATCTCCTAAAACCTAGTTGCCCAATCCCCATAAGGAAACTAAGTACCCGTTTGGTATTGCTTATTTGGGGTGATAAGTGATTTTTAAAAAAAATTTGGGAAGTCCAGCCCGTTTGGTAACTTATGAGAAAATCACTTATTATTAAAAATTGCTTTGCGAAAAAGCGATAAAGGAAAGTAGCCAATGAGCTGCTTTCATTTTCTGATTATGCAATAATCAAATTTGAGAAGGCGTTTGGTTTAATGAAAATTACAAAATTCCGAAAATACCCTAATTTCACGCTCTCCTCTTCTTCGTGCGTCTTTTCCATCCCACGCCATAAGAAAAGAAAGAAAAAGCTGAAGCACACGAGGACAACAAAAGAAAAGAAAGCAAAAGCGTAGGAGAACGCACATGTGATTTACTAGTATGATACGTTTGCTGTTTTGTACAAACAAAACCCATTATTGTTTCATAGATTGAAGAACTGCCATTCATTTTCTTTTCTCATTTGGAACCTGGGAAATACCACATACCCAATTGCTTAAAGTCTTTGATTTTCTGTGGATAACCAGGGAAATAACTACAATTTGGTAAGCAATTCATTTGGTTTGCTTTAAATTTTGTTGTGATTTTGAAAATCATTGTCTGGGTTTTCGTTTACTGCCTTATGTTGCCTGAAAACTTTAATTGTTATTGTATTTTGTTTACTTTTAATCAGCTGCTTTCTTTCTGTACTTGCATAAGTTATTTTATATATTTATTGCTTCCTATTGCGGTTTTACTCTGTATCTAGTAGCTTTAATTGAAAATCTTGTACATTCTTGAATGGTCATGAGTTTGGTTGGTTGAACTTTTGTTTCTCCTTCGATATATTTTTGATATGTTTAACTTCTATGTTGATGTGAATTGTAGATTTATTATTTTATTTTGCATGCTAATTCAGAGAGATTGAAGAACTAGAGCAATTTGGTTATTAGGAATATAAAGAAAAAGGAGATGCTTTTTACTTTTGCAGTGATTGCTATTTTGGCAATGCATAATCCAACTTCCATACTCTTCAGTTGCAGGTAATGTTTGTAATCTGGTAATAAATACCTTCTGTTATTCCACAGTCAATATTACTAAATTTTGTGGACTAGAAACATTGTCTAGTTGAACTTTTGTGGTATGCAATTGTATATATCAAATTCGTGTATATGTGTGTCTATGCTTGTATTCATGTGTGCATATAAGGGATTCAAATATGGGACACAATGTTTGAGCTCACCCTGCAATGGTGTCTAATGAGATTAATTGTCTATTATTTGGTCCACATGAAGAATAATGCTCGCAAAAATCATCCAAATTGGAAAACACTTGAACAGAAAACCCAATTCAACATAATGCCATTTTTAGTCATTATACACAGCTCACAGCACTTTCACAAAAAATTTACCAAACACTCAGAAATTGATTATTGTACAAACAACACTTATAAAAAAAAATTTACCAAACACCAAACTGCTTTCTCTCATAGTTGATTTCTCTCACAGCAAATATGACATTGATTATTTTCACAGCACAGCAATGCCAAACTGGCCCTAAGTTAAAATAAATAATATTAGGAAATAAAGTCCAAATTGGATTAGGAGAATCTATCCACAATCTGCTCAGCCGCGTTTTGGCCTCAAATCTCCTCCAAATCTGGTCCAAGATAGCTTGTTTTAAAGATAAAAATATTCCGAACACTTCTCTAGAAGGCTAAGAACCCATCCGAGTTCATCCTGGGCTCTAAAAATGCAATAAATGCCCAAAACGTCACTATTCCAGCACCGTGCACTACTCTTTTATTTTATTGCCAGAAAATAACCGCTTAGTAGAAAAGTCTAAAATTTTGACACAATCAAGTTAAGTGACTCACGAACGTCCTCCAATTGGAATACTCCAAAATTCGTCAATTTGATTATGTTTTGATCTAGAGGAAGTCGAAAGTCCTATATTGGAAATATAATTCAAAGTATCAAAATTCTTCCAAAATATTAACCAAAATATAATAAAAATAAGGTTAAATATATAATATAAAATATACCCATCAACTACCACTGATGGTGGAAATCATGTTGATCTGCTGTTGCTGAGGATTAGGTAGGGGTGGGAGGTTGTGCACATTTTTGTCCAGCTTCCCTTCACGGAGGAGTCCTTCAATGATGGTGCGCAAGGCAACACAAGATTCGGATGAGTCTTTCTTTATGCATCAGCCTTTGACAGTTTTAGGATTGAGATGACTGATGGTGGAGATCATGTTGATCTGCCGTTGGTGAGGGTTAGGTGGGGGTGGGAGGTTGTGCACATTTTTGTCCAGCTTCCCTTCACGGATGAGTCCTTCAATGATGTTGTGTAAGGCAACACAAGATTCGATGAGTCTTTCTTTATGCATCAGCCTTTGACAGTTTTAGGATCGAGATGACTGATGGTGGAGATCGTGTTATTCTGCCGTTGGTGAGAGTTAGATGAAAGTGGAAGGTTGTGCACATTTTTTTCCAACTTCCTTTCACAGATGAGTCCTTCAATGATATGGCGCAAATCAGTGCAAGATTCGGATGAGTTTTTCTTTATGCATAAGCCTCTGACAGTTTTGCGATTGAGATGACTATATACATTTCATATGGTCATTATTAAACATTATATTGGTGATCACTAGCTGTCCAAACAATAAAGCAACTTCATTTTTTCAACAAACAAATAATAATGCAACTTTTTCCAAATTTTTTATGATAACTGCTTTAATATGAATTGAAATGAATGACAAAAAACGAATCTCCAATTTTAAAATAAGTTTTTGACAAGACTCTAAATCTAGGTATTCGTTACACGGTGTGGGGGGCCATACTAGGGGTGGTGGATTTGGTACCTTGTTCAGGAGTATGGTCTCACAACTGACAATGTCCTTGATGCTAAGATAGTATTTGTTCCAGGTGTAAACTTTAGTATTTGTTCCAGAAGTGTACGTGTATTGACTGAAAACGAGACATGAATGTGCAAGGCTTTAATAGTTGTACAAATTGTTAAAAGTTTCATTCGAATCGTTGTTTGTAGGACCGGTTGAGAAGCTACTCCTTTTGATGCAAGACAAGCTTAGAACATAATCCATCACTGTCAAAGAATATAACAGTGCTATTTTCTTTGTGTAGTATTTCTCATTTCAGCGCACAGAAAACAAATTAGTCACATTTAGTCACGTGTTTGGTGACATTGTGTTTTAGGATTGAGATGACTGATAGTGGAGATCATGTTATTCTGCCGTTGGTGAAAGTTAGATGGAGGTGGGAGGTTGTGCACATTTTTTTTCAACTTCCTTTCACGGATGAGTCCTTCAATGATATTGCGCAAATCACGCAAGATTCGGATGAGTTTTTCTTTATGCATAAGCCTCTGACAGTTTTGCGATTGAGATGACTATATACATTTCATATGGTCATTATTAAACATTATATTGGTGATCACTAGCTGTCCAAACAATAAAGCAACTTCATTTTTTCAACAAACAAATAATAATGCAACTTTTTTATAAATTTTTTATGATGACTTCTTTAATATGAATTGAAATGAATGACAAAAAACGACAATTGAGATTATTAAATCATTTGTGTCTCCAATTTTAAAATAAGTTTTTGACAAGACTCTAAATCGGTAGGGATTTGTTACACGGTGTGGGGGTCCATATTAGAGGTGGTGGATTTGGTACCTTGTTCAGGAGTATGGTCTAACAACTGAAAATGTCCTTGATGCTAAGATAGTACTTGTTCCAGGTGTTAACTTTAGTATTGACTGAAAACGAGACATGAATGTGCAAGGCTTTAATAGTTGTACAAATTGTTAAAAGTGTCATTCGAATCGTTGTTTGTAGGGCCGGTTGAGAAGCTTCTCCTTTTGATGCAAGACAAGCTTAGACCCTATTCCACCACTGTCAAAGAATATATCGGTGCTATTTTCTTTGTGTAGTATTTCTCATTTCAGCGCAGAAAACAAATTGGTCACATTTAGTCAAGTGTTTATGAAGAAAACTTCTCCAGAAGCTTAGACCATATTCCATCACTGTCGAAGAATATATCAGTGCTATTTTCTTTGTGTCGTATTTCTCATTTCAACGCACAGAAAACAAATTGGTCACATTTAGTCAAGTGTTTGGTGACGTTGTGTTTGGTGACATTGTGTTTGGTGACATTGTGTCATGTGTTTGATGAAGAAACTGTTTCTTTTGTAAACGTGTTTAAAAAGTCTAAAAATACTTAATTTATTTTTCATCAGTCTCTTGCGTATACTTTATTGAAAAAGCATCCATGGCTATCCAATGGCTGCATTTTTCTTTCAACTCAAACTACTTATATAAGTGAGCTCAGAGCTCATGCCATTCCACATGCACAGAGAAATGGAGATCTCTCAAGTAAAACTAGTTCCAGTCCTACTTTTCATCCTTCTCAATTCAGTTTGGTGCACAACTTCAAACTCCATTTCTGAAAGCTTTCTTCAATGCTTTTCCTCCCACGTACCTTCAAACTCAAGCAGCAAAATTATTATCACCAAAAACAGTCCTGCTTATTACCCAGTCTTCCAATTTTCCGTACAGAATCTCAGATTCTTAAACACTCCAACACCAAAACCAGAAGTTATCATTACTCCTTTTAAACACTCTCATGTTCAAGCGGCTGTAATTTGTGCCAAGAAAGTGGGCATACAAATAAGAACCCGAAGTGGGGGGCATGACTACGAGGGCCTATCTTATGTGTCGATAGCTCCTTTCATCCTGATCGATCTTTTCGAACTTCGGTCCATTGATATTGACATAGAGAATGAGATCGCTTGGGTCGAGTCTGGTGCTACTCTCGGGGAGTTATATTACGCAATTGCACAAAAGAGTAACGTCCATGGCTTTCCAGCAGGGACTTGTCCAACTGTTGGTGTGGGGGGGCATATTAGTGGAGGTGGATATGGTACCTTGTTCAGGAAGTATGGTATGGCAGCTGACCATGTCCTTGATGCTAAGATTGTCGACGTTAATGGCAGAGTTCTTGACAGAAAATCCATGGGAGAAGAACTCTTTTGGGCTATTAGAGGAGGCGGAGGCGCAAGCTTTGGAGTCATTCTATCATGGAAACTTGGGTTGGTTCCGGTTCCTCCAATTGTAACAACTTTCGTGCAATCAAAGACCATGGAAGAAGGTGCAACCGATCTTGTTTATAAATGCCAAACAATAGCAGATTGGATGCCTGAAGGGTATTTCCTGCGTGTGGTTTTAGGAGCTACAAATGGTACAAACGGTGGAAAAACTATTGAAGTTGAATTCAGTTTCTTGTTTCTTGAGACTTACGAGGAACTTCTTCCTTGGATGGAAGAACACTTACCAGAGTTCAATTTAAGCCGGTCCGCATTCACTGAAATGAGTTGGATTCAGTCTGTTCTATCTTCCGCTAGCTACTCAATAAATGATACAGAAGCTCTGCTTAACCGGAGTCAACAATCTAGGAGCTTCTTCAAAGGAAAATTGGACTACGTGACAGAACCAATTTCAGAAGCTGGCATGGAAGGTTTATATCAGATAATGTTTCAACTAGACGCATCCACGGTGATACTGACACCTTTTGGCGGAATAATGAATGAGATTTCCGAATCAGAAATTCCTTTCCCACATAGAAAAGGAAACTTATATGAAATCCAGTATTTTGTCAGTTGGGATGAAGACGAAGAAAGTGAGAAAGATGTTAGCTGGACAAGACTGGTGTATGGCTACATGGCACCATATGTTTCCAAGTCCCCAAGAGGTGCCTATTTGAACTGCAGGGATCTTGACTTGGGGATAAACAAGGATGCCAACACAAGCTATGCAGAAGCAAGCATTTGGGGTTTGAGCTACTTCAAGAATAACTTCAGGAGACTTGCTCAAGTGAAGACCGTAGTTGATCCTGGTAACTTCTTTAGAAATGAACAAACCATCCCTGTGTTACGATCTGGAAAAATGAAATACCAACAACAACTAGATGCGTCTCTGTAATAGAATGAACAACAAATAGATAGGTTCGGCTTCATTTGCTCATTCCATTGTACTACCAACTACCAGCCAACGAATAATAGAACCTCATCTGTTGCCTTTCTCTTGCTGTGAAGATTGAAATCCATTCGCAAAATAGAAGTAATTTTATTTCAAATGATTTAAATATTTTAATTCCTGCTTTGATTGTCAAACTGTTTATTTGATGAAGTCTTCTTCTGTACAATCTCCCAGGAGATTTCTCTGCTCTGTTATCAGAACAGAGAAGACAGAACCAAATTTCAGAAGCACCTTTCTGATATCTTACTTTTAACTAGTAACAGCCTATGACTCCTGAGTTGGAGGATTGAGATGCATATGATCATATAAGTCATAATTAAGCATTCATTTGCTGCTTACTAGCTGTCCAAACAATAATGCAACTTCATTGTTTTCACAGACAAATAATAATGCAACTTTTTTTAAAAAAATTTATGATGACTTCTTTAATACGAATTGAAATGAATGACAAAAAACGACATTGCGATTATTAAATCATTTGTATCTCCAATTATAAAATAAGTTGTTGAGAAGAATCAAAATCGATAGAGTTTTGTTTTCATGCTCTTAGGTGTTCTCTAACGTATTCTTCAATAATTTTATTTTTTATTTTTTATGATATGCTTCAATATTTTAAACGACACTTGTTTCTTGTTTTATTCTAACTGACAAAAATAAGAGAAACATACTGAACCTTTGCTTTGTCTTCAATGGACACCTAATGCCTGCAATGGGATATTTAGTCTTCAATGGACACCTAAAACAGTGATTAACAATTCAAAGTATGCATGCACTCAATCATAAGCAATTAAATAAAAATCACATATTCATGCTAATGTTCAAGGCTTTACCCTAACAAATGAAATTTAGTTATGCATATTCATAATTGAAATCCAAGAAAATATCATTCGAATGAATAAGAATGAAAACACCCGAAAGTCGCGAAAACCCAAAATCCTAGCAAATGCTTCAAAAACCAAAAAGAAGTTCCAAAATTTTCTGTCAAAAGGAGCTTAAATATCTCCTAAAACCTAGCTACCTAATCCCCATAAGGAAACTAAGTTAAAATAAAATAATACTATGAAATAAAGTCCAAATTGGATTAGGAGAATCTGTCCACAATTTGCCCAGCCACTTTTTGGCCTCAAATCTCCTCCAAATCTGGCCCAAGATAGCTTGTTTTAAAGATAAAAATATTCTGAACACTTCTCTAGAAGGCCACAAACCCATCCGAGTTCATCTTGGGCTCCAAAAATGCAATAAATTCCCAAAATGTCACTATTTTAGCATCATGCACTGCTCTTTTATTTTATAGCCAGAAAATAACCGTTTAGTAGAAAAATCTGAAATTTTTACACGATCAAGCTAAGTTACTCACGAACGTCCTCTAATTGGAATTACTCCAAAATTCGTCAATTTGATTATGTTTTGCTCCAGAGGAAGTCAGAAGTCTTATATTGGAAATATAATTCAAAGTATCAAAATTCTTCCAAAATATTAACCAAAATATAATAAGAATGAGGTTAAATATATAATATAAAATATACCCATCAACCACCACTGATAGTGGAGGTCATGTTGATCTGCCGTTGGTGAGGGTTAGGTGGGGGTGAGAGGTTGTGCACATTTTTGTCCAGCTTCCCTTCTCGGAGGAGTCCTTCAATGATGTTGTGCAAGGCAACATAAGATTCGGATGAGTCTTTCTTTATGCATCAGCCTTTGATAATTGTAGGATTGAGATGATTGATGATGGCGATCATGTTGATTTGCCGTTGATGAGGGTTAGATGGAGATGGGAGGTTGTGCACATTTTTGTCTAGCTTTTCTTTACGGATGAGTCGTTCAATGATATTGCGCAAGGCAACCCAAGATTCGGATGAGTCTTTCTTTATGCAGCAGCCTTCGACACTTTTAGGATTGAGATGACTATATGCATTTCATATGGTCATAATTAAACATTATATTGGTGCTTACTAGCTGTCCAAACAATAATGCTTCATTTTTTAAACAAACAAATAATAATGCAACTTTTTTTAAAATTTTTTATGATAACTTCATTAATATGAATTGAAATGAATGACAAAAAACGACATTGCGATTATTAAATCATTTGTATCTCCAATTATAAAATAAGTTGTTGAGAAGAATCCAAAGCGGTAGAGTTTTGTTTTCATGATCTTAGGTGTTCTCTTACGTATTTTTCAATTATTTTTTAATTTTTTTTAATTTTATGATATGCTTCAATATTTTAAAGGACACTTGTTTCTTGTTTTATTCTAACTGACAAAAATAAGAGAAACATACTGAACCTTTGCTTTGTCTTCAATGGACACCTAATGCCGGCAATGGGATATTTAGTCTTCAATGGACACCTAAAACAGTGATTAACAATTCAAAGTATGCATGCACTCAATTATAAGCAATTAAATAAAAATCACATATTCATGCTAATGTTCAAGTCTTCACCCTAGCAAATGAAATTTAGTTATGCATATTCATAATTGAAATCCAAGAAAATATCATTTGAATGAATAAGAATGTAAACACCCGAAAGTCGCGAAAACTTAAAACTCTAGCAAATGCTCCAAAAGCTAAAAAGAAGTTCCAAAATTTTATGTGAAAAGGAGCTTAAATATCTCCTAAAACCTAACTGCCCAATTCCCACAAGGAAACTAAGTTAAAATAAAATAATATTAGGAAATAAAGTCTAAATTGGATTAGGAGAATTTGTCCACAATTTGCCCAGCCACGTTTTGGCCTCAAATTTCCTCCAAATCTGGCTCAAGATAGATAAAAATATTCTGAACACTTCTCTAGAATGCCACAAACCCATCTGAGTTCATCTTGAGCTCCAAAAATACAATAAATGCCCAAAATATCACTATTTCAGCACTGCGCACTACTCTTTTATTTTATTGCCAGAACGTATTCTTCAATATTTTTATTTTTTATTTTTTATGATATGCTTCAATATTTTAAAGGACACTTGTTTCTTGTTTTATTCTAACCGACAAAAATAAGAGAAACATACTGAACCTTTGCTTTGTCTTCAAGGGACACCTAATACCCGCATTGAGATATTTAGTCATATACCCATTCTTAATACTAATGATAATAATTACTTTATATTCTGTTTAACCCACCCAATCAAAAAAACACAACAAAAATAAAAACCCCCAAAAAAAAAAAAAAAAAAAAAAATCAAAAAATGAATCAAAACATGGGATATAGGCCCACAATGCTGCGTGGATATGGCCCTCACCTTATGCTTGTTTTTCAAAACAAGTTTGAAACACATTGAAGAAGTCATTATTGTTCCTAATCTTATGCCTAGAGAAAAGGAAGGGAGGAGGATAATCAGATAAAGGGGAGGAAGAGTCCAATTCGAAGGAGAATTCTTCCATCTCAAATCTCTCTCATAAAGACTCTATAAAAAGGGGGAGAGAAAAGAAAAAGGGGGCAGCCGGCAGGCTACACAGGGAGGCTGAAAAAGAGCCTGCAAGGCCACAAAGGCAGGGGTAGGCAACCGTGAGGCTGGAGGAAAAGAAGAACAGCCGCTGGAAGACTTCAAAGGATGCATTCAACATCCAGTACGATTAACCCATGGGGTTTCTTGGTGTTTAGGGGTGGTAGAAATCCACCCGGGCACGAGAGTTGGTCGGGCAGATCTGGAAGGCCTTGAAAGCAGCTGGGCAGATCTGGAAAGGCTTGAAAATGGCTGGGCAGGTTTGGAAAAAAGTTGGCCGGGCTCGGAATGGATTTATGCGGCCGGATTTTTGTTGCCCAGGGAGATGCGCCCAGCTTTTCTCGAATGGATGCGGCTGGAGCTTGTTGTTTGATCTCCAAAGTTGGGCCAAAAGGAATTTTTAAGTTGGAGGCTTGATTGACCTACTATATATACATACATATTATATTGTATTAATATAATATAAAGCTATGGCTGGAATCAAACATACATATGTATTAATATATGTGTATTTGGGCAAAAGAGTGCGGCTGATGGCTGGGCTATCATTGCCCTATTTTATATAATTGCATATGTGGGCATATGGAATTAAATGGCGGCCAAATGTTTAGAGCTGGAGCTTCAAGAGTTTTTGCGAAATGGGCAATTGTTTTGGAGTGTGTGCGGCCGAAGTGAGTATATGGGTGAGTGGGCCGTTTTTAGAGTGGGCTACTGTAGGCACTTGTGTATATATACAAGTATATACAATATAGGTGAGTGAAGATGCATACACGAAGGCCGGGAGGTTTTTGTCCTATATGAACATATTAATATGGAATGATATGAAATCTAATATATGGATGGCAATATAAGAGGAATCAGATGCCCAACTTTAAGACACCGATTCAAGCCCAAATTTTCGGAAGTTTATGTGCACATGATGGAGGCTTTACAGGGAAAGAAATCAAGGGAGTTTTATAATAACTCCAAGTGTTCCAAAACAAGGAAGAATCAGGCATATCAGAATCTCAATGCAATCCTACGGATTTAGGAGGCTTCCGGATGCTGCCCCCGCCAATGTCCGGCCTTATCGATACCAGCATCTTCAAAAATCAGATATTGAAAGCCTCATCCACGAAATGCTTGCGTTGGGCGTCATTCGACCAAGTGCAAGCCCTTACTCCTCACCAGTTCTTTTGGTCAAGAAAAAGGACGGCTCTTGGCGTCTATGTGTTGATTATCGTGCCTTAAATGTTGTCACCATCAAAGACAAATTTCCCATACCTGTGATAGATGAACTCCCTGATGAACTCCACGGTGCCTCAATCTTCTCCAAGCTTGATCTTCACTCCGGATATCATCAAATTCATATGCACACCGATGACATTCACAAAACCGCCTTCCGCACACATGATGGGCATTATGAGTTCCTCGTAATGCCATTCGGTTTGTCAAATGTCCCCTCTACTTTTCAATCCTTGATGAATGATTTATTTCGCCCTCACTTACGCATTTTGTTCTCGTCTTCTTTGATGACATAGTAATCTATAGTAAATCCTTCCAAGATCATATCACTCACTTACAAACTATTTTTGAGATTCTCAGAACTAATCACCTCTTTGTGAAGAAATCCAAGTGTGTTTTTGCCCAACCACAGATTGAGTACCTTGGCCACACCATTTCCTACCAAGGCGTTGCAATGGATCAAACAAAAATTGATTGCATTCAATCATGGTCCAAGCCGTCTTCCCCAAAGTCTCTGCACGGCTTTCTCGGACTCGCCGGCTACTACCGTGAGTTCGTGAGGAATTTTGGTTTCGTTGCCCGCCCACTACTCAGCTACTCAAAAAGGACAATTTTGTGTGGAACCACGAAGCCGACCCTGCCTTTACTGCCCTAAAAAATGCATTATCTTCTATGCCAGTGCTTCAGCTACCCGATTTCTCGAAACAGTTTACCATAGAATGTGATAACTCTCAAGGAGGACTAGGCGCTGTTATGCCACAGGATGACCACCCAATTGCCTTCCTTTCCAAACCTCTGTCAGGAAGAAATCTAGCACTCTTCATCTACGAAAAGGAAATGATGTTTGTCATTTTTGCAATCCAAAAATGGCGCCCATACCTTCTTGGCCAACAATTCCGCATCATCACGAACCACCAGACCCTTCGCCACTTCCTGGATCAACGTATTATGACCCCAGTCCAACAACGTTGGCTGCTCAAACTAATGGGTTACAATGTTGTGCTCCATTACCGAACTGGCTCCTAAAACGCCTCTGCAGATGCTCTGTCATGGCGCCATGAACTCCTTCCTCTATTGGGCATCTCTCAACCCATTTTTACGTATCTGGATACCATCAAGGAGGACTGTCATAACGACCCTGATACATAGTTGCTTATCCAGCGCCTCTGCACCAACACCCCCCTCTACCTAAGGGATTTTCGTGGCACAATACCACCCTATTCTACAAAGACAGGTTGTTTGTTCCTTCTATCAATGATTGGCGCCCCAAAATTCTCCAGGAATTCCATGGCTCCCCCACGGCTGGCCATTCCGGTTACCTCCGCACTCTTAAAAGCGTGCAACGTAACTTTATGTGGCTCGGTTTACGCTCTGATGTCAAAGCGTTTATCACCACCTGCGATACCTGCCAACGCCAACACTACGAAGCCATCCACCCTCCCGGCCTATTGCAGCCTCTTCCAATTCCAGCCGCTTCTTGGCAATCTATCAGTATGGACTTCATAGAGGGTCTCCCTCATTCCAAAGGGAAATTAGTGATCATGGTAGTGGTCGATCGTTTAACCAAATACGCCCACTTTACGACGTTGGCACATCCATTCTCTGCCGAAAAAATTGCAGCTGTCTTTATCCAAGAGGTCTTCAAACTACAAGGCATGCCCCAATCCATCATCAGTGATCGGGATCCCATCTTTCTCAGTAACTTCTGGGAATCTTTTTTTCAGTCGCAGGGAACCAAGCTCTGCCACTCATTCGCGTACCATCCTCAGTTGGATGGCCAAACTGAGGTCATCAATCGCATTTTGGAACAATACCTCCGCTGTACCATCGGCGACAAACCCAACTCTTGGACCACATGGCTCCCATGGGCCGAATTTTGGTAGCCATGGGCCGAATTTTGGTATAATACCACTTACCAAGCCACCATCAAAATAAGTCCCTTCCAAGCTTTGTATGGCCACCCCCACCTCCAGTTCTCTCATACACCTATGGTTCTACAGCAGTCCATGCTGTTGACACAACCCTCATTGATCGTGACCAACTATTGAACATCCTCAAATCCAATATCCAAATGGCCCAGAATCGAATGAAGGTTTACGCTGACAAACATCGTACCGAGCGCCACTTTAACGTCGGTGATTATGTCTACCTTCGGCTACAGTCGTACCGCCAACACTCCATCGTTTTTCGCCAAAACCACAAGCTCTCTCCTCGCTTCTATGGCCCCTACAAAATTGCTGCCCGTGTAGGCCAAGTAACGTATCGCCTGGAGCTGCCAACCAATAGCAAAATACATCCTGTTTTTCACGTTTCATTGCTCAAACTCAAGCTTGGCACTACCAGCACTGCGAGCACTCAGCTTCCCCCCATGTCTTCTTCGGGAGCACAAACTTGGGAACCTGAAGCAATCTTGGAACGTGGCCTCTTCAAGCACCGTAATGCCCCACTCACCAAATGGCTAATTAAATGGAAGGGATACCCAGCTAGTGACGCCACTTGGGAAGAAGCCCAATCCATTCTCTCAAGTTTTCCTTCCTTCCAGCCCTGAGGACAGGCCTGTTGCTAATAGGGGAGGGGTTGATGAGACCAGTCTCTACCCTAACTACAGCCTAGCCCATGGCCCAGCCAACTTCACCATTGCAATAAGAACTCTCTAGAATTCCCCACCTAGAAGGAATACCTCAGAATACTGGGTATATCCGTTAGATAGCTAGCAACGTGGCACTATTCCTATTCTTGTCCTTATCTGATATCATTTTGTATTAAAGGACCAAAGGTCTCAGACTATAGTAGACAAGAATATATAATTTACTCATTTATGCCCTTTTCAACGTCTGTCCTTTTCCTTTTACGTATCACACATCCTGTGCTCCATCACTTCACGATGCCTTTAAGCATCCCAAATAGCAAGCGACACCCGTGGGTCTCTACGATGCCTTCAACCATCTCAAACAAACATTCAATCTGCGGGGATTGTCATGGTAGTTTCAATCATCACAAAACCAAACCAAATCTGGTGTCTTTACAAGGAAATCAAGAGCAAAAGTTTGTTTCTGACTTGGACATTTCCGCGATGAAGATGGTACAGATGAGGATGTAGGGGTGAACCCACCACGAAATCAAAATGCAGTAAGAACTCTGCCTGGCCATGTCTTGCTCCTAGCAACAGGCAAAAAAAAAAAAAAAAAAAAAAAAAAAAAAAAAAAAAAAAGGGAAAAGGAAAAAAAAGTACGCCACTTTCTTTGTGTGCTGGGTTAAAAGAAGAGACAAATGCTAGCCAAACAAAAAAAGAAAATATTTAAAAAAAAAAAAAAAAAAAAAAAAAAAAAAAAAAAAAAAAAAAAAGAAACAATTGAAAGATGGCTTTCAACGAAATAGGCCACGTGCCTTGGATTCCTTATCTGTTGATTGGTTGCAAACAACCAAAACACAAGCACAAGTAAAACAAAAGGAGATAGCTTTCAATTTGGATTGGTCACAGTGTACCAGATAAATCTGGGAGTGAAAAGCTGGGAGCCAAATTCTCTTAACAGCTGCTGTTTCGGCTTCAATTCGCTGTTGGGTACCAACGCTTTTCTAACATGGACTCCTTGTTCGTGGGTCAATCAAAATACCAAAGGCCCGGAAGCAGATTATTGGGCTATAAAAAAAAAATTCCCATTAATTCCCAAAAGCCTAAAATATTTAATGAGTGATCAGATAAATACTCATTAAATGTACGGAGGCCCAAAATGGTACAAAACCATCCAATTTCCCATGGGTCATCTACCCATATAAATTTCATTGCGATTAATTCCAAAACTCTCAAACAGAAATGGGCCACACTTACCCATTAATTTCCAAATGTTGGAACTACGTCGGTTTGATCCCGTCAATGGTACGTAAACAGTCTAACATCCCAATAGACGCAACCGCAACCAAATTTAAATCCCCGGTTTACCTTAACATAATTTTGCCAAAACACCTTCCCAAGTGCAATTGTCAATTATAGGAAAAATTAATGGGATAATTGAAATTACTCATTATTTTTCTTGGACATTGACAATAAGAAAAGTGGTACAAAACCATCCAATTTTTCATGGGTCATCTACCCATGCAAATTTCATTGAGATTAAATTCAAATATCTCAAACAGAAATTCTCAATTAGTAGGTCACACTTACTCATTAATTTCCAAATTTTCTCATAGGTCATCTATCTATGGAAATCTCCAATTTGTCACAAAGACACAAATTCTCAATTAGTGGGCCACACTTACCCATTAATTTCCAAATGTTGGAACTACGTCGGTTTGATCCTGTCAAGGGTACGTAGGCAGTCTAACATCTCAATAGACGCAACCGCAACCAAATTTAAATCCCTGGTTTATCTTAATCAAATTTTGCCAAAACACCTTCCCAAATGCAATTGTCAATTATAGGAAAAATTAATGGGATAATTGAAATTACTAATTATTTTTCTTGGACATTGACAACAAGAAAAGTGGTACAAAACCATCCAATTTTTCACGGGTCATCTACCCATGCAAATTTCATTGAGATTAAATTCAAATCTCTCAAACAGAAATTCTCAATTAGTAGGCCACACTTACCCATTAATTTCCAATTTTTCCCATAGGTCATCTATCTATGGAAATCTCCAATTTGTCCCATAGGTCAAATCTCCAATTTTTCCCGTCAAGGGTACGTAGGCAGTCTAGCATTCCACTAGACGCAACCGCAACCAAATTTGAATCCCTGGTTTTATCCTAACCAAAGTCGTCCAAACACTTCCCCAAATGCAAATGTCAATTGTAGAGAATTAGTGGGTTCATCAAAATTGCTCATTATTTTTCTGGGACATTGACAAAAAGAAAAATGGTACAAAACCATCCAATTTTCCCTATGAGTCTTCTACCCATGAAAAATTCATTGAGATTAAATTCAAATCTCTCAAACAGAAATTCTCAATTAATGGGCCACACTCACCCATTAACATCCAATTTTTCCCATGGGTCATCTACCCATGAAAATTCCAATGAGATTAAATTTGAATCTCAAAACACAAACTCTCAATTAGTGGGCCACACTTGCCCATTAATATCCAATTTTTCCCGTAGGTCTTTTACCTATGAAAATCCCCAAGTTGTTTCAAAGACAAAATTCTAAATTATTGGGCCACACTTACCCATTAATTTCTAAATCAATTTGGAACTACGTCGGTTTGATCCCGTTAAGGGTACGTATGCAGTCTAACATCTCAATAGACGCAACCGCAACCAAATTTGAATCATTGGTTACATCAAACAAATTCCCACAAATCAAATACCTACCTTTACACAAATCATCTCCGAACTACGTTGGTTTGATCCCTTTGAAAGGGTACGTAGGCAATCTAGATATTCAATCTTGATGAACCCATCCCAAACACAATTCCATATCGAATCCTTGTTGTATTCAGCTAAATTCACTCAAACACACTCATTCAAATTCCTCCTCTTGCAATGAGTCATTTACTCATTACGAATCTTTGAACTATGAGTGGCTTGATTCTCGCAAGGGATACGTAGGTACCCCGAGGTTGGACTTGGGAGCAGCTGCAAACCAAACACACACATTTTGTTCCTTTATGATGGAATCAAAAGGTTTTTCCCTTGTAAGCAAGGGATTGTAATTAAGAGACTTGCGCCTCGAATGGGTCGAATTTGAAATAATAAGACCCCATTAATTAATTAGTGGTGGTGAAATTATGTTGGGAGGTTCACATTTTCCTTCAACACTTTGCACCTTTAATTTTTATAAACAAACCTGAAAAATGAAAGCTGATCGTATTAAATTTATTTTTGATTATTAAATTACTTTGATACCCTATTGAGTGTGTTGGGGTTGGGCTTGTTTTAAGAAATTGATGGCAGTTTTGTAATTTAAAACAAGTTAAAAGCCTCTTTGATATGTTGTAAATGAGTTTTGGGTGTGTTTCTAAAGTCCATTTCATATAGGTTTTTTTTAAAATAATTTGGGCCACTATATTAGGTATAATAGTGAATCTCCCACTTTTCATGGCTCCCATGTTCAAGTAGCTATAAATGATGAGAAACTTTAAAGCCTAGAAATGACGCTAAGTGAGAGAGCACAGGATGGGATGGATGGTCAAGTCGATGATGCCAAGCAGGAGAGTACACGGTTGTAAGGGCGAGGGGGACAATGGATGAGTGAGAGGAGAGGGAAAGTGGGTAATTAAAGACCATATTTAGAAAGGCCCTGAAAGAGTAACAAACTAGTACGTAAGTCATTGATTTGATAAAAGTCCGGAGTAAAGACAAAGAAAACTAAATTATCACGAGTAAAACGGGAAATTGAGAGAAGATTAGTACGAAGAGAGGGAAGACAAAAGATATTTTGAAGAAAAAATTGTGAGAACATAAAGGAAAAGGAAGAGGGCCAATATGAGAGATAGAGAGAGAATCTCCATTACCAAGAAATACAGAATTATTACCCTGATATGGCTGTTGATTTTGAAGATTAGAAGGACTTCTAGTCATGTGATGATTGGCACCTATATCAGGGTACCAAGTGGAGTCAGGTGGCTGCATGAATTGAGCCTTAGCAAAGGAAGGAAAAGATTTTGGGCCATTGTAATGATAGGGACATGTTGGAGTAGTATTATGATTTGTATTGTAGGCGGTGCACCAAGCAAGTTCCAAGACACCAATAGCTGAGTTGGGCCAGGCAGAGTGTTTGCTATAAGTGGCAGATTAGGCCCAAGGGGGCTGAAAGGAAGGCCAGTTGCTTTGAGGTCCAGAACTTGGAGCAAAAGGAGGCCACAATTGATTAGGCTATTGGGGCTTCTTGGAGCCATTCCATGGGTTACTCCAGGAAGGTAAGAAGTTGCCCTAACCACCACAACCTCGATCGCGCCAGCCACCATGCTTGTTGCTGGAGGAGCCACCACTATGGTGGGAATTGAAGGAAGTGTGGCCGGTGGTGTGAGGAGAAGATTAGGTGGCCATTAGGGATGTGTTTTGATAAGGAGAGATTCGAGAAGCCTATGCATCAAAAGCTAACAAACGAGCATGAAGATCGGCAAAGTCAAGAAGCGGAGGAAAATTGAGAATTTCCGTGACGAACATTTTGTAATCGGGTCCTAAACCTCGGAGCATAGCGGTGACAAGTTCTTTTAGGGAGACAGGTTCATTAACGGCAGCCAGTGAATCGACAAGGGACTTAGCATGACGAAGGTAAGCATCAATGGTGGAGAGCTTTTTTGCATATCCATGAGTTGAAAACGAAGAGCAGATTCACTGGCCATACTGGATTGAGAGAAATGGCATTAGAGACACTCCCAAAGATCCCGGGTAGAGGTGCAACTGACGAGAGGAGAGAGAATGGAGTTAGAGAGTGTACTGGTGATGTAGTTGACAATGAGTTGGTCTTGTTGGTACCATTGAGCATGGGCGGGATTGGTTTGGGTGAGGGAGGCAGTGGTGGTTGTTGGGGTTTTGATGGTAGAAGTGGAGGTTTGGGTAGAAGGTTGTTTACGAGTGCCATCGATAAATTTCTAAAGGTCATGACTGCCTAAAAAGGGTTTGAGTTGACAGAGCCAAAGGAGGTAGCCGGAGTCAGTAAGCTTGATAAAATGAGAAGAGTTGGGGCTAGGGAGGGAGACGGTGGATTTAGACGAAGCCATGAGGTGGACCTAAAGAAGAGGATTGGATCGAATAAGAGAGAGGTAGGAAACCCTAGTTAAGGCTGATACCATGTAGAGAATATATTTCCTTGTATTGAATAGATTACACAAAGTCCCTATTTATACTGATACAAGAAATCTACCTCAAGTTTGAAATAATATAATCATGAATACAATTATAGATTTACTGCAGGAGAAGCTAATTGCTAGGGGGAGATTTTGAAGTTGACTTTTCCATGTGTGCTATGAAAGGAAACTTGTGTTAACACTATTTCAGAAGCTAGCTTGGAAGGTTGATGGAAAACACTAATTGAAGTAAAGGCTTACCTGATATTGACTCCTTATGGTGGAAAAATGAGTGAGATTTCCGATTTAAAAACTCCTTTCCCACACAGAAAAGGAAATCTATTCAAAACCAGTGTATGGTCGCTTGGGATGATGACAAGGAAACTGATAAGTATATTGGCTTGATGAGAAAACGACATGGCACCATATGTTTCACAAGAGCTGCCTATTTGAACTAAAAGGATCTTGACTTGGGGAGGAACAATATGTTAATACAAGCTATGCAGAAGCAAGCATTTGCGGTTTGAAGTATTTTAGGAATAACTTTAGGAGACTTGTTCATGTTAAGACCTTAGTTGATCCTGGTAACTTTTTCAGGGATGAACAAAGCATCCCTGTGTGTCCATCTAGGAAGAAATAGAGTTCCAACAATCATACTCTTCTTTAATTCCATCAAAGTGACTAATTGATGAGATTAGATTGTGCCAAGCCAAGCTTGTGGTCCACCTTGGCTAATTATCTACCCCAAGCCCAAGCCAGCCAAACTTGTGGGTTTTTTTTTCATTCTATTTATTTATTTATTTCCACTATAAATAATTATCTCCTTGTTTGACTAACCCTTTTGGAGTTTGGTTTCCACTTTGACCTCAGAGTTAGGTTTTCACCTTGACCTCGTAAATGGGTTTCCACCTTGATTTGGAGTTGGGTTTCAACTTCGACTTGGAGTAGGATTCCTCCTCGAGTTGGAGTTGGGTTCGGCCTCCCTTGCAGTTGGGTTTCCACCTAGACTTGGAGTTGGGTTCCGCCTTGACTTGGAGTTGGATTCTGCCTTGACCTCGGAGTTGGGTTCCACCTCCACTTGGAGTTGCTTGACCCCGATCTCGACTTGGATTTTAGACCATACCCAAACAGTATCTTCAACATTTACATAATTGTTTATGAAGAAACTTCTTTCTTTTTGTAAACATTTTTTGAAAAGTCTTTTTTTTTTTTTTTTTTTTTTTTTTTTTTTTTTTTTTTTTTTGTCGTATGCTCCTATCCTTTTCAATTATTGAAAAATCATCGATGGTTATCCAATGGCTGCATTGTTCTTTCAACTCAAACTACCTATATAAGTGAGCTCAGAGCTCATACCATTCCACATGCACAGAAAAATGGAGATCTCACAAGTAAAACTAGTTCCACTTCTACTTCTCATCATTCTCAACTCAGTTTGGTGCACAACTTGCGAACTCAATTTTTGAAAGCTTTCTTCTAGGTTTTTCCTTCCACAACTTCAAACTCAATTTCTGATATTTTTCTTTTTCTATTGAGAGAGGCGATAATATACTAAATTTACATACACTACAAAGATAGTAAGAATCGAACCCAGGACCTTGTCTGAGGGAGCAATTGCTCCAAACAGCAACATTAGTGGGTCCTTTGCTTCTGATATCTATATTTTAATGAGTAAGCAAGAAGGTTTAAAAATCAGCATCTCCAACCGATGTATCAAAAGTGCCACATAGACATTTAACGGCTAGAAATAACATCTCACATCACTCCAACCGATATGTCAAAACTGATGTGGAATGAAGGCTGGAGGTTGAGATGTTATTTTTGACATCCCAAAAGCAAGATGTCAAATGAATATTTTATTATTTTTAAAAGATAGTTGGCAGTTACTTTCATTTATTATTTTCAATTTTTTTTCTTCTTTATCTTAAATGATTTGACTATTACAATAATTATTTATTTGACATATCGGGTGAAGTGTAAAACTGTGTAAATGTCAAATTGCCACATCAGCCATCAAATTTAAATTTGATGTTTGGTATTTGACATCTCCCTTGGAGATGCTCTAATAGGTGTCCAAACAATAATGCGACTTCATTGTTTTCACAGACAAATAATAGTGCAACATTTTATTTATTTATTTTTACAATGACTTCTTTAATATGAATTGAAATCAATGACAAAAAACGACAATTCAGACGGTTTATTTTATGATGATGTGGATAATATGCTCCACATTGCGATTATTAAATCATTTGTATCTCAAATTATAAAATAAGTTTTTGAGAAGACTCTAAATTGGTAGAGTTTTGTTACTTGTTTCTTCGATAATAACTGACAGAAGTAAGAGAATTGTGGTAGGAATCAAATCAATTCTCAATCTAATTAGGTAACGTTCCATTTAACTGGGTAGTTCCCGATTAAATTGAGTAACTCCCAATTAGATTGATTAATTCTTAATTAGGTCAAATAATCCCCAAATAGAAGGAATTATTTAACCTAGGGTCTGATTTAATTCGGTTCCCACAAGAACCTTGGAAGAGAATGCAACCGCCGTCATTTTGAAGTGGCAAGAGGTGGCGCCAACCACAGACGATGGTCTTTTTATGAGGATGCTTTTGCAGCCTGTGACTTCTAAAGTGAAGAAGGGTGAGAAGACTGTTAGAATCTCAATTTTGGCCGAGTTTCTTGGCAATGCCTACCAACTTGTGTCATTGTTGGGGAAGGAGTTTCCTGAATTGGGTTTGAAGAAGGAGAACTGTATGGAGATGACTTGGATTGACTCTGTGCTTTGGCGGGCTAATTTTGATAATGGGACTAAACCTGAAGCGTTGCTCAATAGAAATCCCAATGATGCAAATTTCCTGAAAAGGAAGTCTGATTATGTTCAAACCCCAATCTCCAAAGATGGGTTGGAGTAGTTATGGAAGAAGATGATTGAGCTTGGCAAAACAAGGTTGGTGTTCAATCCATATGGTGGGAAAATGAGCCAAATTCTGGCCTCTGAGACGCCTTTTCCACACCGTGCAGGGAACTTGTTCAAAATTCAGTACTCAGTGAATTGGGAAGATGCAAGAGAGGATTCAGAGAAGAATTATCTCACACAAAGCATAAGGCTTTACAGTTACATGACGCCATTTGTGTCCAAGAACCCAAGAAGTGCTTTCTTGAATTACAGGGACCTTGACATTGGTGTCAATACATTTGGTGACAATAGCTATGAAGAAGGGAAGGTTTACGGATTGAAGTACTTCAATGACAACTTTGATAGGTTGCTGAAGGTGAAGACTGCTGTTGATCCAGAAAATTTCTTCAGGAACGAGCAGAGTATCCCTACTCTTCCAAGTAAGGCATAGGAGAATTTAGCTGTTGACACAGCTTGTATTGGTTATTGATTCATCAACTATAAGTTTAAAAAAAAAATAATGTCGCTTAGATGATGAGTATTTGGTTACTTTTGATTGAGCACTTGTCATAGTGAACATACAAAATCTATACAATTTACTCTTTGATTTTTAGATTATGAGAGACGTGACATGTATAAGAAAACTACAAACAGTCTCATTCATTCTAGTTAATGCAAATGGCAGGACACTAGCATGATTGACAGTGTTTACCTTTCAAGGCTGATTTTAACAATTTCTTTCTATCCTCTCTGATTTGTTTGCTTGCTCAATAATCTTTGGGTTATGAGTCTTTTTTTTTCTCTGTTTTTCTTTGGGTTTATTTCTTTCAATATTCTCTATGAACAAAATTATCCGTGCATATTCTTCACTTCAAGCTTAAAAACCACTTTCCTTTTGATCAAAGTCAGAAGATATGTTCCTTTCACAATGGCATATAGGTAAAAGTGAGTGAAAATAGCTGTCATGGAAAGGGTGTTTGATAAGAATATTCGAAGCCTCGTTGCGTCACTTTGTACTATCGGTTTGGTGCCCCAGCTTCGGCAGTTCAGCAAATCTAACCTTGTGAGTGGTCTGGTGTTCTTGGGTCATTGGCAGGTGGCTTGCTTTGACAAGGCTTTTTCTTGCGAGCTCCCCATGTTTGCTCAGCACGTGTTTCGATAGGTAAGAAGCGTTGTGGGTCTTCAAAATTCTTTCATGGGCCTCGCCATTCGGCAAGGCTAGTTTGTTTACTCAGTATGATGATTTCGTTGTTGTTGCGTTATTTAAACCTTCGGCAGGTTAGGACTCGGAGCCGAACAAGAGGCTGGGCCTTGGGTAATTTGAGCGCACGAGCTTGTAGCTGGGTCATTGACATTCAATAGTTGGGCCTGAGTAAGGTGAGGAACTCGCGACCACTAAATTAGCCCGTCATGGTTTTTAGTAAGCTAAATATATTGAGATGGTGATTGTTAATCTCCGACAGGGTCTGGCAGGAGAATGTCAGAAGTCGAGCTTCTTGGAGTTGGGCTTGTGTTAGCCCTGGGTGAAGACTTGGAGCTGGGCCTTCATGCCTCTGTTTCTTTAAGCAAGGGCCTTGCCATTCGGCAAGGCTGATTGGTTGTTGTTTCGGCAAGGCCAATGTTCTGTAGAATTTGGGCTGTGCCCTTAGAGCTAGGGCATGGGTTGGGCTTAGCTATATCTTGGACAAGGGTGAATTGTCCAACACAAGCTTGTAGCTGTTTGTTTACTCAGTATGATGATTTCGTTGTTGTTGCGTTATTTAAACCTTCGGCAGGTTAGGACTCGGAGCCGAACAAGAGGCTGGGCCTTGGGTAATTTGAGCGCACGAGCTTGTAGCTGGGTCTTTGACATTCAATAGTTGGGCCTGAGTAAGGTGAGGAACTCGCGACCACTAAATTAGCCCGTCATGGTTTTTAGTAAGCTAAATATATTGAGATGGTGATTGTTAATCTCCGACAAGGTCTGGCAGGAGAATGTCAGAAGTCGAGCTTCTTGGAGTTGGGCTTGTGTTAGCCCTGGGTGAAGACTTGGAGCTGGGCCTTCATGCCTCTGTTTCTTTAAGCAAGGGCCTTGCCATTCGGCAAGGCTGATTGGTTGTTGTTTCGGCAAGGCCAATGTTCTGTAGAATTTGGGCTGGGCCCTTAGAGCTAGGGCATGGGTTGGGCTTAGCTATATCTTGGACAAGGGTGAATTGTGACCCCCCTTTGACTTCTTCAAGGTCTTGCCGTTCGGCAAGGCCCCCTTTAATTTCCCTCTCCGTTTTTTTTTATTTTTAAAATTTTAAATTTCAAATTGTGGAATAGGTACAAGGATTTTGAGAGGGAAGGTGAAAGGATGTTAAGGTTTTCTTGTGAACCGAGGTGTTGGTACCCTTGAGGCTCTATAACTAGGAACTTGGGGTGGCGAAGGTGAACATACTTGAGTCTTGAGAAAAATTTCTGGAAAGTGAGAAGTAGAGAAGGAGATTTCCGGCGACATACCTCGTGGTGGTGTTGTGGCTAAGGTGATTTCCAACGTCTTATTTGTGGTTGTGCAAACAAGGTTAGACCTCATTTCCCTTAAACTTTTGAATTGAAATGTCCTTTTTGGTATGAACATGCTGAAGACTAGGATGAACACCTTGAATATGAGCATGAACGTGATGAACACCTTAATCATTGATATGAACTTGTTGAATATATGTTTCGATCATTTTTGCATGTGCATTAGTTCATTTTCCTTATTTATGCATATTGTAGATGTCTGAAAGTTCTGATAGGGAAAGTCATGACCCCCTTGCCTTTGGGAGTGAAGATACTGAGAGTGAGGAGCCCAATGAATATGTTTGTTCTGAAGATGAGAGTTCCCAGACAGAGGGTGTGGTAGAATGTATTATAGAAAGGGGTGAGCCATCAGTAGACTCTGGGTCAGAGGCATATAGGGAGATGCAGATGAATTACACAAAGCTAGAAGCTATAGTTGATTGGGTTCTAGCCTTGTCTCATACACTAGAGGTGGGCTCGAGCAATCAGGCATCACCGTTGAGGTTTGTGGGTGTAGCCATGGCTTCAGCTTCAGAGGGAGTGGACATACGGGTTGGTGTCCTATTGGCGAGGCGGAATACACTTTCAGAAGTAAGGTTGGCTGAGCTTCGAACAGATTATAGTGTTTCACCCTATGTGGGCTTGAGGTTACCCACTGCAGTTGATGTGGTTAGGTACCCTCCGGAGGGCTCGTTGCTGATTTTTACGGATATGTACCAGCATAGCTTCAAACTACCATTTCATCCTTTGGTGTAGATGATGTTGGCCAAGTTGGGGTATACGCGGGGACAATATAATCCCAACTTTTGGATTCTTTTGCATGGGGTTTACATTGCTTGATGGTTGGCTGGATTGGGAGAGCCAACATTTGAGCAGTTCATGTACTTATACTCGATTTTGAAGCAACAAGAAAGCTTTGGCTGGGTACAAGCAAATTATCGAAAGGCAAAAGAGAGGGGTTACTTTATTGGTCACAAGCCTTCTACTCAGAAGTCTTGGAGGAACATGTGGTGCCTGGCTTATGGTGACTGGGAGTGTCCACCAGGGAAGACCGTCACCAAACACATTTCTACCCTTCCAGTCTATAGGTCATTGGCCCCATCCATTAAGACTGATTGTTGTTTTGTTGTGTTTTACCTGTTTTCTCTCTTGGTTCTCTATTTTTGCTTGTGCAAGTGTAAATGGCTGAGTAGTATCCAAGGAGCAAGAAGACGAAGTTGAGAGGGTGAGGTCACTGTTGTTAGAGACCGAGCGTGAATGCCGAAACTTAGTCACCCAGAAGAATCTGTTCGAGTCCGAACTCTTGCAAAGGAGTAAGTACCTGGGCTACCTTTGTTGTATGTCTTCTGATTCTGTTTTATGGTTATGACTAACTTAGCCTTTGATGTGCAGTGACATGTGTTATAAAGGGAAGCACGAAGGTGATGGTGGATATTGATGAGGCCGAGATGTAGAAGCAAGTAAGGGAGTCTAGGCCAAAAAGGCAGAGAAGGGGTGTGCCCAACAGGCGACTAGGAAGCACCCTAGAAATGACAATGAGGGGTGGGTTGTCGATGTTTTGGGGAAGAGGAAGGCGCTGGAGGAAGCTCACCAGAGTATGATGGGGATGGGGCCGAGACTTCCTCCCTTTGATCTGCTGGCACCGCCGAAGCTTCCTTTTGGTATTAAGGATGTTTTTCCTGAGGGGGTGGAGAAAGTGGACTTCTCCAAGCTGCATCGGCAGAAGAATGAGGTGAACCTGGCCATGCATCGGCATGAGATTCCCTTGGTGAACGTCTTCCTGGAAGGCGTGAACAGACCCTGAGGCTCTAGCGAGGACTCAGGCTTCTTCCTTTGCAGATCGTGCCCAGAAGACGATCCTTACTTCTGCTTATGTAAGTTATCTTGGTTTGTGAATTTGTTCTTATCATTCTGGTTTGCTAGGACTGATGATGCTTTGTTTTGCAGGTCTTTGGCGAGATGTATGTCAATATGGCTAAGGCGGATAAGGAGATCTAAAGGCTAAAGAGGCACGATGAGATGGCCAAAGGCAAGGTAGCAGAGGCAAACGGTCGAAGGCCGAGAAGGTAGCTGCTGCCCAAGCGGAAGCGGTCGAGTCGTTTCGAAGTTCAAAGGAGTTGCGTAGCTATATCATGGATCGGTTGGTGGATGAGCAATTTCGTTGGGAGGATAGGCTGGCGGGGCTCAACCCTTCGGTTGAGATCAATTTCGATACGAGCGGCAAGCCACCTTCACCTAGCCCCACTACCAATGCCACTACCGTTGCGCCAGAGTCAGAGCCGACCATCGCGGATGCCCATTCTACTGAGTCCTAAAGGCGTTGCCTTCCTTATGTATTCTAGTTAATTTTTGGAACACTTGATGTTTATTTCTGCTTTGTATGAACATTTTACCTTGCTTGGGGCAAGGTTATTTTGATTTGCTATGATATTGGACTTGTTTTCATTTGATATTAGTTGTGCTAGCAAAAGGATAATCATGTGATTGATGAGAATTAGCCAGAGTCGGGCGTTTCATTAAATAGGTGTTGAAAGGAAAAAGGTACAAGTGTTGGTTGAGGCAAGGCTCAAGACCAAAGTTTAAGAAAACATAATGTCCTAGGGTCTAGGTGTGTTTACTTATAGTAGTAGTTGAGGTGATCAGCGTTCTAAGGTTGATGCGAAGTCTTGCCGTTGGGATCGCAAAGCTGATAAGTGTCGGGGCAGCAGACTTTGGTAATTTCATAAGGACCTTCCCATGTAGGGCCCAAGGTACCTTCAGTAGGGTTCTTGGTGGCCAAGGAAACCTTGCGCAAGACCCAATCCTCAATCTTGAAAGCACGGGGTTTGACTCAGGAGTCATAGTACTTGGCGATACGTTGTTTGTACGCGACGTTGCTCATGTTGGATTTGTCACGGAACTCGTCAATGAAGTCGAGGTTCAGGGCTAACTGCTCGTCATTGGCCTCGACATCATAAGTGGAGGTTTGGTATGTGGACTGGCCAATCTCCACTGGTGCTAGGGCCTCGGTACCAAAGGAGAGAGAGAATGTTGTTTCTCCTGTGAAGGTATGGAAGGTGGTGTGATAGGACTAGAGAACCTCTAGGAGTAGCTCTGGCTAGCAACCCTTTGCTTTGTCAAGCTTGGTCTTTAGGGTTTTCTTGATGATTTTGTTCATAGTTTCGACCTGGCCATTAGACTGAGGATGGGCTGGAGAGGCGAAGCAAAGTCGTATATTGAGGTTGGAACAAAATTGCTTGAACTTTGCATTGTCAAATTGCCAGTCGCTGTCTGTGATGGTGGCTAAGGCTTCAGCTTCAGCTTCAGCCCACTTGGTGAAGTAGTCCATAGCTACAACTACATACTTGACCTCACCATTGTCCTCAGGCATAGGTCCAATGAGGTCAAGTCCCCATTGGGCGAATGGCCAAGGACTGACCATGGCTGTCAATGGTTCAACTGGGAGTTGTGGGGTGTTGGTAAACCGCTGGCACTTATCGCACTTTTGGGTGAAGGCATAAGCATCGGTGTGAAGTGATGGCCAAAAGTATCCTTGGTGAATGGCCTTATGTATTAGTGAGCGAGCACCTGAGTGGTTGTCACAGATGCCCTCATGAATCTCCCGAAGGACATAATTACTTTCCTCTGGAGTTAGACATCGAAGGTAGGGGAGGCTGAAGCCACACTTGTATATAGCGCCATTGATGATCAATTATCGAGCGGAGCGATAGCGAACACGTCGTGCCTCAGCAGAATCAGCAAGTAGTATTTGATTTTGCAAGAACAGAAGGATGGGGTCCATCCACATAGGGCTGTGATCAATGGTACGGATGAGTGGTGCCTGTGTGCTGGGCTGATCTATGAACTCGATGTGGATGTTGCGTCCTATACCCTGCTCCAAGACAGAGGCTAGCCTAGCTAAAGCATCAGCATGGCTGTTCTCAGAGCGTGGCACCTGGCTTATGAGATAAGCATTGAAAGTTGCAAGCAAGTGGCGGGTATGCTGGAGGTAAGCTGTCATATAGATGTCCTTAGCAGTGAAGTCCTGTTTGACTTGATGGACAACGAGCTATGAGTCGTTGAATATCTGGATTTACTTAGCACCCATCTCTTTGGCTAGCCAAAGGCCAGCTAAAAGTGCTTCATATTCGGCCACATTGTTGGAGGCATGGAATTTGAAGTGTAGGGCGTACTCAAGGACAACTTTGTCTGGGGAGATGAGGATGAGGCCGGCCTCACATCCCTGAGCATTGGAGGAGCCATCCACATATAAGGTCCACAAGGGCTGGGTCAGGTCGAGGGTGCCGTTGCTGGCGATGTGGACTTGGCTCAAGGGAAGATTGGGTTCGGTTATGATTTGGGTAGAGGCCAAAGCTAAGGGTTCCGTGAATTCTAATATGAAGTCAGCAACGGCCTGGCCCTTTGTAGCTGGGCAGGGTTCGTAATGGATATCAAACTCACCAAGTTCAATGGCCACTTAACCAACCTGCCAGAAGTCTCTAGCTTTTGCGATACCTGCCTTTGTGGCTGATTGGTTAGGACATGGATGGTGTGCTGTTGGAAGTACGGTCTCGGGCGTCTAGCCAAAACTACCAGGGCGAAGGCTAGTTTCTCAATATCTGGGTACCGAACCTCAACATCTTGTAATGCTTTGCTAACATAATGCACCGGGTGCTCAGCACCTTCATGTGGTCGGATGAGTGATAAGTCCATAAATATACTCATTTATGTACTCTTTTTACTTAGGTTTTGTAGGAGAATTAGATTTAAAAAGGGCTTATTACTTTACTTTTCTGATTTTCAGCTTTTCTGCGCTCTTAGAAGGTTTTTAAGGAAAAATCAACTTTTTGGAGGAATTTTAGTGCAAGGCCAATTAAAGATGAAAGCTAACATCTTGAAGTTCAATATGTGATTTTTCTAGAATTTTCTACCAAGCCAATTGGTACAGTATTACAAGTAAAGTTAGCCCACGTGCAGACAAGACAGTTTCGTACATGTTACGTGAATGTGAAGAACGGAAGCCTTCCCGAATTTTCCAAGTTACGTGCTATATATGGTTGGAAAGATAAGACATTTATCTTTCTAAAATATATTTTTAATGATTTTTCTACAAGGCCGAAGATCCCCAAATCGTGTGACAATTGGGCTGAGCTGTATTTCCCTGTGGAGTTAGGAATTGTGATTTTTACTTTCCTATTTGGATTCCTTGTTTACCAAGACTTCTTGGACGACTCTCAGTCAATTTTAGGGTTTATAACTTTGATATAAGTGATATAAAAGGCCAGCCAAGGCCCCGATACAGAGTATTCACGTCCAAAAGGGATCAACCGCGTAAGAGGAGAAAGCTGCCAACGAGTTCTTTCTTTTCCTTTCTTCTTTTAAGTTTCAGTTCTTATGTATTTATTTTTGAGTTCATCCAAGAGCATGAGTAACTAATTTCTTGTTAGTTAGGGCTTAATCTTGAAGCCCTAAACATGATTTCAATTCTATAAACAAGTTTGAATGGATTTTCAGTTTCTACAAGTGTGATGATTTCGGTTTCTCTATGTTATGTGAATTCTGATATTTTGTTTCTTTGAGTAGCTAACTTTGAAGCATGTATTGGAATTAAATTGTTGTAGAACATAGGTCAATTGCCATATTGAATGTGTTCTTGTTTGCAACGAATAATTGGGTTAAGAACTAGTTATGAGAAATCGATTCTTGAATTCCTAATAAAAAATGCCATGTTTTAGGGTTTTTGTGACACTCATATTCTCTTTGATCTTAATGGATTCTTGATTGTTAATTTGAGTAAATGCCATACTAGATTTCAATTAAGAATACACGTATTGATGTAAATGCCATACACTTTACATGCACTTAAGAGAGAATCATACAACTCGAGTCAAATGCCATGATCTTGTTGTGAGTGTCGTCATCATATGCTTGCTAGAAATTGATTATCTATTGTTGTTTATGAATTGATTGATTGGTTAGAGGTGGATAGTGAGTCCTAGCTATTGTTCTTGATTGATTATAAACCAATTTCTCTTAAACTCTAATTTAAATTCTGTTTTGTTTTGTTTTCCTTATTTTGTTTTATTCACAAAATCAAATCAAAACCCCCCTTGGTGTTGGCGTGTGTGTGGAAGTCCTTGTGTTGTCGTTGCGTGACATTGATAAACATCTCTCTAGATTACAATCTCTGTGGGAATGACCCTTGCTTGTTTACTATACTATCATTTGATTTGTGTACTTGCAAGGTTTAAATATTGTTGTTAAAAATTACCAACAAGTTTTTGGCGCCGTTGCCGGGGATCGAACCCGGGTCACCCGCGTGACAGGAGCTAACTGATGTGGCCGAGACAGAGAGGTAAATTGTGAAGGTGTCTCCAGGCTTGGGGGTTGACAACAAAGAGGCCCAAATCATATACTCCTTGAGCTTGTTGAAAGCTTTGTCACATTCAGCAGTCCAGATGATGCTTCGCTTATTGCCCTTAAGTGCCTTGAAGAAGGGGGCGCAGCGATCGGTGGCCTTAGAGATAAACCTAGTTAGGGCTGCAACACGTTCGGTAAGGCTCTGGATGTCCTTGGCTGTCTTGAGTATCTTTATGTCTAAGATGACCTGGATTTTTTCTGGATTAGCTTCAATACCCTGCTGGCTGCTCCTCTACCAATGTATTCAACACTTCTCCAGAAGCTGAGACCATATTCCATCACTGTAGGAGCATCAAGGTATATATCAGTGCTATTTTCTTTGTGTTGTATTTCTCATTTCAACGCACAAAAAACAAATTGGTGACATTTAGTCAAGTGTTTATGAAGAAACTTGTTTCTTTTGTAAACATGTTTAAAAACTCTAAAAATACTTAATTTATTTTTCATCAGTCTCTTGCGTATGCTCCTATCTTTTCAATAAATAAGTCTGCATCCTCTAACAATGTATTCAACACTTCTCCAGAAGCTCAGACCATATTCCATCACTGTAGGAGCATCAAGGAATATATCAGTGCTATTTTCTTTGTATTGTATTTCTCATTTCAACGCACAAAAAACAAATTGGTGACATTTAGTCAAGTGTTTATGAAGAAACTTGTTTCTTTTGTAAACATGTTTAAAAACTCTAAAAATACTTAATTTATTTATGAAGAAACTTGTTTCTTTTGTAAACATGTTTAAAAACTCTAAAAATACTTAATTTATTTTTCATCAGTCTCTTGCGTATGCTCCTATCTTTTCAATTATTGAAAAAGCATCCATGGCTATCCAATGGTTGCATTTTTATTTCAACTCAAACTACTTATATAAGTGAGCTCAGAGCTCATACCATTCCACATGCACAGAGAAATGGAGATCTCTCACGTAAAACTAGTTCCAGTCCTACTTTTCATCCTTCTCAATTCAGTTTGGTGCACAACTTCAAACTCAATTTCTGAAAGCTTTCTTCAATGTTTTTCCTCCCACATACCTTCAAACTCAATCAGCAAAATTCTTCTCACCAAAAACAGTCCTGCTTATTACTCAGTCTTGCAATTTTCCATACAGAACTTCAGATTCTTGAACACTCCAACACCAAAACCAGAAGCTATCATTACTCCTTTTAAACACTCTCATGTTCAAGCAGCTGTAATTTGTTCCAAGAAAGTGGGCATACAAATAAGAACCCGAAGCGGGGGGCATGACTACGAGGGCCTATCTTATGTATCGATAGCTCCTTTCATCCTGATTGATCTTTTTGAACTTCGGTCCATTGATATTGACATAGAGAATGAGATCGCTTGGGTCGAGTCTGGTGCTACTCTCGGGGAGTTGTATTACGCAATTGCACAAAAGAGTAACGTCCATGGCTTTCCAGCAGGGACTTGTCCAACTGTTGGTGTGGGGGGACATATTAGTGGAGGTGGATATGGTTCCATGTTCAGGAAGTATGGTATGGCAGCTGACCATGTCCTTGATGCTAAGATTGTCGACGTTAATGGCAGAGTTCTTGACAGAAAATCCATGGGAGAAGAACTCTTTTGGGCTATTAGAGGAGGGGGAGGCGCAAGCTTTGGAGTCATTCTATCATGGAAACTTAGGTTGGTTCCGGTTCCTCCAACTGTAACAGTTTACACAGCATTAAAGACCATGGAACAAGGTGCAACCAAACTTGTTTCTAAATGCCAAGTAATAGCAGATTGGATGCCTGAAGGGTATTTCCTGCGTGCGGCTTTAGGAGTTACAAATGGTACAAACGGTGGTAAAACTATTCAAGTTGCATTCAATTTCTTGTTTCTTGAGACTTACGAGGAACTTCTTCCTTGGATGAAAGAAAACTTCCCAGAGTTAAATTTAAGCCGGACCACATTCACTGAAATGAGTTGGATTCAGTCTGTTCTATATTTCGCTCAGTACACAATAAATGATACAGAAGCTCTGCTTGACCGGACTCAAGAATCTACTAGGAGCTTCTTCAAAGGAAAATCAGACTACGTGACAGAACCAATTTCAGAAGCTGGCATGGAAGGTTTATATCAGATAATGTTTGAACTAGACACATCCATGGTGATACTGGCACCTTTTGGCGGAATAATGAATGAGATTTCCGAATCAGAAATTCCTTTCCCACATAGAAAAGGAAACTTATATGAAATCCTGTATTATGTCAGTTGGGATGATGACAAAGAAACTGAGAAAGATGTTAGCTGGACAAGAAGGGTGTATGGCTACATGGCAGCATATGTTTCCAAGTCCCCAAGAGCTGCCTATTTGAACTACAGGGATCTTGACTTGGGGATAAACAAGGATGCTAACACAAGCTATGCAGAAGCAAGCATTTGGGGTTTGAGCTACTTCAAGAGTAACTTCAGGAGACTTGCTCAAGTGAAGACCTTAGTTGATCCTGGTAACTTCTTTAGAAATGAACAAAGCATCCCTGTGTTACCATCCGGGGAAAAATAGAGCGCAACAACAACTAGATGTGTTTGTGTAATATAGAATAAACAACAAATAGATAGGTTCGGCTTCATTTGCTCATTCCATTGTACCTACCAACGAATAATAGAACCTCATCTGTTGCCTTTCTCTTGCTGTGAAGATTGAAATCCATTCGCAAAACACAAGTATAATTTTATTTCAAATGATTTAAATATTTTAATTCCTGCTTTGATTGTCAAACTGTTTATTTAATGAAGTCTTCTTCGGTACAATCTCCCAGGAGATTTCTCTGTTATCAGAACGGAGAAAATAGAACCAAATTTCAGAAGCACCTTTCTGATATCTCTATTTCAGAAGCCTATGACTCCTGAGTTGGAGGATTGAGACGCATATGATCACATAATTAAGCATTCATTTGCCGCTTACTAGCTGTCCAAATAATAATGCAACTTCATTGTTTTCACAGACAAATAATAATGCAACTTTTTTTTAATTTTTTATGATAACTTCTTTAATATGAGTTGAAATAAATGACAAAAAACGACAATTAAGAGGGTTTATTTTATGATGACGTGGATAATATGATCCACATTGCGATTATTAAATCATTTTTACTGTTTGGCAGACTCATTTTTCTCATCAGCACAGTGAAATCACGGTTTTGCGCTTTGTTAATTGCTTTGTGTTTCCCCGTTTTGCCCCCGCTCTCCTTCGATTGTAACGACTTGGAGCCTTCGTTCTATCAGATGCTGAGTTCGCTTCTAACCAGGTTGGTTGGCCTGGTTGCGGGGCAATGATGGAAGCGGTCGGTCTACTGTTGGAGATCATCTGGAGGCTTCGATTTTTATAGGAGTGGCGTGCGTTGGTCTTCTTCTTCTTCAGATCGAACTCCAGCTTTCTCTCTGTTTCAGTCTCTTTCTCTCACTGATCTGTATGTACATTTTGCTTCATCTTTCCATTCGATTTTTGTTCCTCTTCTTTTTCATTTTGGTTGTTACTAATATCTTGGATCATATTTGATTAAACCATAAGACCTGTTTTAATTTGCTGCCCTAAAAGTCCAAATCCCTAATTTTTCCTCATAGTGGGTCTGTGTTATTGATTTGCAAATTTTATCTAAATACTGAAATTGATTTGATTGTGTTATTATTTTGATGAAATCAACTTGAATAATTTATTCATTAAAATACTATATGATTGCTTTTGATAAGGTTTTCTGTTTGGTTATTAAAAATTAGTTGGTAAATCCTGAAAATCGGTATTTGGATATACTGGTTCTTTTGTTACAGGGTTTAGGATAGCTCTGTTTTGGTAAACAGGATATGCTGCTATTTAGGTAGCTCTGTTTAAAGATATGTTCGTTCTTTTACTACAGGGTTTTAATTCAAATTCGTTCTTATACTGGTTTATGGGACTGGGGATTTGAATTTGATAATTTTTGTTTTGGTAGGGGAAAGAAAATTTGGGAGTGTGATTCTAGGAACTGATTGCAATGTCTTAGCATATATGACTTGAAGAAGACTGGTTTGGGAAATATGTGGGATTTAAAAATCTGACTTCTAAATTGGAATTCTGTTTGTGGACATTAGTGATGACAAGAAAGAATTCAGAAAAGTTAAAATTCATAATTTTTTAGTTTGTGGGTTTGATTACCAAGCAGATTTTTGCGTTGAATGGAGACTTATTGAAAACTAAAAAAGTTTGTATATCCTAATTTCAGAATGCAGAGTTTGGTTCCATTGTTTTTTTCCTTTTCATGGGCTAATAATTTGGCCATGCTTCTACTCTTTGCAGTTGCTAGGGACTGGAATGGATACGCAGGATACATCTCCTTCAGTGTTGCTATTCTTTGACAAGCAAAGATTTATATTTAATGCTGCTGGAAAGGTAAGGAACTCAATTACATACATTTACATCTGGTTAGTTTTGTAATATTAAAAGTAAGGTGATGATTCAATTATTATCTATGAAATAGTAATTAGAGATCAATGATAAACCTGTTGTTAAGTAATATAGTGTCTCTTACTTTGCAACTCTCACTGCAGGGATTGCAACGGTTCTGCACAGAGCATAAGATTAAGTTATCAAAGGTATAAGATATCTGAGATCCTTACCCATTAGGTAGTTAAGACCAAAAGTGGGGCTCTATATATATGCCTGGTGGTTAGCGAGAGAGAGTGAGTGGTTTTAAAGGGTGTCAATGGCCTTTTTGAATTTTACTTATATACGATTAAAGTTATGTGCTTTCAAGTATTTGTGAGTTCTCTGTATCTGGGTTTTGAGCAAAATGACTTTATTGATAAAGCTTTGATTCTGCTGACTGATGCAGTTTTGCATGTCCTTGGTTAATGCATTTATGTTTGCTCTACACAGATGATAAATTTTTAGGAGAAATGGAGACTTAAAGAGAGAAGTTATGGATCTGATAAGGGTTTAGGGTTTAGGGTTTACTATCTCTAATTTTTGGATCCTAATGGAATTTCTTTGATTACATATGCTGTTTCTCCAAAGCACCAATGAAGCATTTAGATTTGATGGGTTTGATCTGAATGGTATGAATCTCTCTCTCTCTCTCTCTCTCTCTCTCTCTCTCTCTCTCTCTCTTGGGATTTTGATTTATTTGTGAATTAATTTTGTTGGGTTCAATGAAATTATCAGCTAGCTGAAGTTGACTTTGGTGTAAATCACGTATTTGGTCTACTTAAGTTCCTTATCGTATCTGCCCAAGAAAAAAATTTCTTTATGGTAATTTATAAAGTATTTTGATTATGTTTTCTGGCGTTTTCCTTTGTTTCTCCAACTAATAGATATAGGGGTTTTCCTTTGTTTTTGGTTCACCAAATGGTTTTCATCTATTCTGATTTTCTAATTTTTTATATGAGATGTGCAGTTGTTGCTAGGCTGTTAATCCTTCAATGTTCTCCATCTTACTTGCTAAAGTCGAAAGTTCACATTACTTTGGTTGTTTTTGGGTCTTCCTGCTAACTACTTAGAACATGCATTTTAAGTTCAATTTTTGTTGGCGTGGCATTTCCCTTTTTTAAGAATCTATTTCAACAAAGGCATTCAAGTTATATTGCTCAGTTATTTGGAGTTCACAGCAAGACTTTCCATTTGTGTTCATTAAATGTCAAACTGCAAAAAATAAGTAAGATTCATGGTTTTAAAAAAATGGGGCAAGGTTTTGCAATCATTAAGGATCTTACTGTTATTGGAATAGCTTCAAGAGATAAGGTTCCAAAAAGGAGTAACATACATTTGGAAAGGTGTTCTCCCATGATCCTACGGCTGTGTCTGCAATTTTTGTTGGCTTGGCATTTCCCTTTTTTCTAATCATGTCTGCCAATTGATTGTTTTGATATGAAGATTAAGGGTGCAATAAATTATTTCTTTTTATACCACTGAAGTTGGGATTTTTGAAGAAAAAGAACTATATCTTCGTTTTGCAGTTTCAACCATTTTGGATTTCTAACTGTCTTTATGAAGATGTTGATTCTTTCTTATATTCATGTCACAAATCAGTGGCATGCTCCTCAATTTGTTTTTTTTTTTTTTTTTTTTTTATTTTTTTTATTCTCCTTGAATATTTAAAGCTCAAAATAGTTGAACTGCCATCTGAAATTTTATTAATTTAGTTGTGTGTCTTCTAGATATTGTTAGCAAAGCAAAACAAATTAACAAATTTCCTTTTCTCTCCATCTCTGCTTTCGCTTACCTAAATTGCATTTGTTTTTTTGGCATCCGCATATTGTTTCACTTTAGTTTATGATTTTTTAAAGCATGAACATGATGAACATGACTTGCAAGACACCCTGCACTTTTTTTTTTTTTTTTTTTTTTTTTTTTTACGCTCTGATTTCAATTATTGGTTTCATGAATGGTTTCTAATCATGTTTTCCTTTGTACTTGGATTTCACTGTGCATTTCATATTAGTTTTTGGTTGTATGGATTCAATTTAAGTTTCATGCTTCGTGATGTGTAATGTTAGAATTCTTTTGTAGTGACACTATTAGAATCCTGAAATTTAAGTTTTTGCTTAAAGTTGGTTGGTTGGTTGGTTGTATTTTGAGGATATGTAAATATGTGGTTGTTGTACTTCATTCTAATTACTGTTTATTTCTTATTTTCAGTATGAATCATAGTTAGGCAGTCATCCAATTGCTTCAGGTATGACTTATGAAAATTAAAAAGTTATTCAAATCTACATGTCTTATTGAAACTTTGGAATTTTATCTCAACAGATTCAATCATCTCTCACCTCTCTGACGTATAAGCAATCATTGAAGCAAAGAAGCGAAGATAACTTTCCAGTTAATGTTTCTTCATTTTGATTTATTGACATTTTCTTTTGTGTTGCCTCAAAATTCCTTCACAAAATTCAACTTAACCATTCTTCGCTTTAAAAGTAGAATTCATGATTGCCTCTCTATTCCGTATACTCTTGCTATTTTTTTGGTACTGATTTCTTTATTTTTGTAATGTTTGTTTGCTCATCATTTCTGCATTTTCATGTTTGTATATTTCTCTTCTTCCACAACTTTATACACATTTTACGTAATTTCATAACCCGCAGCACCGTGCGGGTTCTTTTGCTTTTATATACTAAAGCGCAATCTAACTAAACACTGTTTTAAGCACAGTGAAATGACGGAAATGCCCCTCATTTAACTGTTGAAATATGTTTTATTTTCTCTTCAGCACAGTAAATTGCCGAAAATGCCCTCCACTATACCTTTTCTGCTCTTCCCTTTTTGCCCCTTCTCCTTCAGTGTTTGTTCCTACCGAACGTGAGAATGCGGCACTTTATAGTAGGTGATGACAAACTGCTCATTGCGGCCATTGCAGAAGTGATGAGTTATTTGCTGATGTATCCAAGACAAAATCATGTCATATTCCAAATTTCATCCAAGAATTTTTTCACTTGAAGTTTCCACTTATACTTGGAAATTTTCAATGGCCAATGTCTGCAATGTTCTTTAATTTAGAGTACAAAGTTGGAACATCAACCAGATAATTACTAGGAACGTCAACCATATATAAACGACTGAGCCGGTACCGTGTTATATGCAGAGGATATAATCATGGTGTTCTTCAACGTAAAACTACTTCCACTACTTGTCATCCCTTTCAACTCAGTTTGGTCCACAAGTTCAAATTCAATATCTGAAAGCTTACTTCAATGTCTTTCCACTCACCTAAAGCATTCTAACTCAAGTAAGGAAATAATCTTAACCAGAAATAGTTCTGCTTATTCCTCAGTCTGGCAATCTTCCATACAGAACCTCAGATTCTTGAACAATTCAACGCCAAAACCTGAAGTTATCGTTACTCCTTTCCATGAATCTTATGTTCAAGCAGCAGTTATTTGCTCCAAGAAACATGGCATACAAATAAGATTCCGAAGTGGGGGCCATGACTACGAGGGCCTATCTTATGTATCATATGATCCTTTCATCATCATTGATCTTTTCAATCTTCAGACCATCCATATTGACATAGAGAATGAGAGTGCATGGGTCGAGTCAGCTGCTACACTTGGACAGTTGTATTACAGCATTGCGCAAAAGGGTAAGGTACATGGATTTCCAGCAGGATCTTGTCCTACAGTGGGTGTGGGGGGACATATTAGCGGAGGTGGATTCGTTACTATATTCAGGAAATATGGTCTAGCAGCTGACAATGTTATTGATGCTAGGATTGTTGATGTCAATGGCAGACTTCTCAGCAGAAAATCCATGGGAGAAGAACTCTTCTGGGCTATCAGAGGAGGAGGAGGCTCAAGCTTTGCAGTCATTCTGGCATGGAAACTTAGATTGGTTCCTGCTCCTCCATCTGTAACAGTTTGCAAAATTGCGAAGACCATGGAAGAAGGTGCAACCAAACTTTTCTCTAAATGGCAAGTTATAGCAGAAAAGCTCCATGAAGACCTTTTCTTACATTTGGTTGTGGAAGTTGCAAACGAAGCCAGTACAACTGATGGCAAAACTATTAAAGTGTCGTTCGATTCATTGTTTCTAGGACCCATTGAGAAGCTTCTCCTTTTGACGCAAGATAAGTTCCCGGACTTAAGTTTAGACCGCAGCAATTGCACTAAAATGAGTTGGATCCAGTCTGTGATGCACTTTGCTGGCTTCCCAATAAGCGAATCCTTGGAAGCTTTACTGAAGAGGACTCAGCCATCTAGGAGCTTCTTCAAAGCAAAATCGGACTATGTGACGCAACCCATTTCACAAGCTGGCTTGGAAGGTATATGGCAAAGACTACTTGAAGTAGAGACATCCCAGTTGATATTGACACCTTACGGTGGAAGAATGACTGAGATCTCTGATTCAGAAACTCCTTTCCCACATAGAAATGGAAGTATATTTGCAATCCAGTATTTGGTCACTTGGGATGATGACAAGGAAACTGAGAAACATATTAGCTGGATGAGAAAGGTGTATGCCTACATGGCATCACATGTTTCAAAGTCCCCAAGAGCTGCCTATTTGAACTATAGGGATCTAGACTTGCGGAGGAACCATGATGCTAATACAAGCTATGCACAAGCAAGCATTTAGGGTTTGAAGTATTTCAAGAGTAACTTTAGGAGACTTGTTCATGTTAAGACCTTAGTTGATCCTGGTAACTTCTTTAGAAATGAACAAACCATCCCTGTTTTACCATCTGGGCAGAAATAGAGTGTAAATAATAAATAGTTGGGTTTGGCCCAATGTAGAAAATAATAATAAATAAGTCTGCAGCCTAAACCAATGTATTCAACACTTCTCCAAATGCTTAGACCATATTCCATCACTGTAGGAGCATAAAAGAATATATCAGTGCTATTTTCTACGTGCAGATGCAGAATAATGGAAATTGTTGGATTTTAGATGCTCTGATAGCACTGTTAGGTTGTGTCTGAAGGGGTTTAGAATAATAGTACAATAATTGAAATAACGTGATTTATTAGATTGGAGGAGAATAGTACATGGCTTTGTGTACATAGGATTACAGGCTAGGTGGCCTTAGAGATAAACCTAGTTAGGGCTGCAACACGTTCGGTAAGGCTCTAGATGTCCTTGGCCGTCTTGGGTATCTTTATGTCTAAGATGGCCTGGATTTTTTCTGGATTAGCTTCAATACCCTGCTGGCTGCTCCTCTACCAATGTATTCAACACTTCTCCGGAAGCTGAGACCATATTCCATCACTGTAGGAGCATCAAGGAATATATCAGTGCTATTTTCTTTGTGTTGTATTTCTCATTTCAACGCACAAAAACAAATTGGTGACATTTAGTCAAGTGTTTATGAAGAAACTTGTTTCTTTTGTAAACATGTTTAAAAACTCTAAAAATACTTAATTTATTTTTCATCAGTCTCTTGCGTATGCTCCTATATTTTCAATAAATAAGTCTGCATCCTCTAACAATGTATTCAACACTTCTCCAGAAGCTCAGACCATATTCCATCACTGTAGGAGCATCAAGGAATATATCAGTGCTATTTTCTTTGTGTTGTATTTCTCATTTCAACGCGCAAAAAACAAATTGGTGACATTTAGTCAAGTGTTTATGAAGAAACTTGTTTCTTTTGTAAACATGTTTAAAAACTCTAAAAATACTTAATTTATTTATGAATAAACTTGTTTCTTTTGTAAACATGTTTAAAAACTCTAAAAATACTTAATTTATTTTTCATCAGTCTCTTGCGTATGCTCCTATCTTTTCAATTATTGAAAAAGCATCCATGGCTATCCAATGGCTGCATTTTTATTTCAACTCAAACTACTTATATAAGTGAGCTCAGAGCTCATACCATTCCACATGCACAGAGAAATGGAGATCTCTCACGTAAAACTAGTTCCAGTCCTACTTTTCATCCTTCTCAATTCAGTTTGGTGCACAACTTCAAACTCAATTTCTGAAAGCTTTCTTCAATGTTTTTCCTCCCACATACCTTCAAACTCAATCAGCAAAATTATTCTCACCAAAAACAGTCCTGCTTATTACTCAGTCTTGCAATTTTCCATACAGAACTTCAGATTCTTGAACACTCCAACACCAAAACCAGAAGCTATCATTACTCCTTTTAAACACTCTCATGTTCAAGCAGCTGTAATTTGTTCCAAGAAAGTGGGCATGCAAATAAGAACCCGAAGCGGGGGGCATGACTACGAGGGCCTATCTTATGTATCGATAGCTCCTTTCATCCTGATTGATCTTTTTGAACTTCGGTCCATTGATATTGACATAGAGAATGAGATCGCTTGGGTCGAGTCTGGTGCTACTCTCGGGGAGTTGTATTACGCAATTGCACAAAAGAGTAAAGTCCATGGCTTTCCAGCAGGGACTTGTCCAACTGTTGGTGTGGGGGGACATATTAGTGGAGGTGGATATGGTTCCTTGTTCAGGAAGTATGGTATGGCAGCTGACCATGTCCTTGATGCTAAGATTGTCGACGTTAATGGCAGAGTTCTTGACAGAAAATCCATGGGAGAAGAACTCTTTTGGGCTATTAGAGGAGGGGGAGGCGCAAGCTTTGGAGTCATTCTATCATGGAAACTTAGGTTGGTTGCGGTTCCTCCAACTGTAACAGTTTACACAGAATCAAAGACCATGGAACAAGGTGCAACCAAACTTGTTTCTAAATGCCAAGTAATAGCAGATTGGATGCCTGAAGGGTATTTCCTGCGTGCGGCTATAGGAGTTACAAATGGTACAAACGGTGGAAAAACTATTCAAGTTGAATTCCGTTTCTTGTTTCTTGAGACTTATGAGGAACTTCTTCCTTGGATGAAAGAAAACTTCCCAGAGTTAAATTTAAGCCGGACCGCATTCACTGAAATGAGTTGGATTCAGTCTATTCTATATTTCGCTCACTACACAACAAATGATACAGAAGCTCTGCTTAACCGGACTCAAGAATCTACTAGGAGCTTCTTCAAAGGAAAATCAGACTACGTGACAGAACCAATTTCAGAAGCTGGCATGGAAGGTTTATATCAGAGAATGCTTCAACTAGACACATCCATGGTGATACTGGCACCTTTTGGCGGAATAATGAATGAGATTTCCGAATCAGAAATTCCTTTCCCACATAGAAAAGGAAACTTATATGAAATCCTGTATTATGTCAGTTGGGATGATGACAAAGAAAGTGAGAAAGATGTTAGCTGGACAAGAATGGTGTATGGCTACATGGCAGCATATGTTTCCAAGTCCCCAAGAGCTGCCTATTTGAACTACAGGGATCTTGACTTGGGGATAAACAAGGATGCTAACACAAGCTATGCACAAGCAAGCATTTGGGGTTTGAGCTACTTCAAGAGTAACTTCAGGAGACTTGCTCAAGTGAAGACCTTAGTTGATCCTGGTAACTTCTTTAGAAATGAACAAAGCATCCCTGTGTTACCATCTGGGGAAAAATAGAGCGCAACAACGACTAGATGTGTTTGTGTAATAGAATAAACAACAAATAGATAGGTTCGGCTTCATTTGCTCATTCCATTGTACCAACTACCTACCAACCAACGAATAATAGAACCTCATCTGTTGCCTTTCTCTTGCTGTGAAGATTGAAATCCATTCGCAAAACAGAAGTATAATTTTATTTCAAATGACTTATTGTAGAAGTGATGAGTTATTTAGACCGCAGCAATTGCACTGAAATGAGTTGGATCCAGTCTGTGATGCACTTGCGGAGGAACCATGATGCTAATACAAGCTATGCACAAGCAAGCATTTAGGGTTTGAAGTATTTCAAGAGTAACTTTAGGAGACTTGTTCATGTTAAGACCTTAGTTGATCCTGGTAACTTCTTTAGAAATGAACAAACCATCCCTGTTTTACCATCTGGGCAGAAATAGAGTGTAAATAATAAATAGTTGGGTTTGGCCCAATGTAGAAAATAATAATAAATAAGTCTGCAGCCTAAACCAATGTATTCAACACTTCTCCAAATGCTTAGACCATATTCCATCACTGTAGGAGCGTAAAAGAATATATCAGTGCTATTTTCTACGTGCAGATGCAGAATAATGGAAATTGTTGGATTTTAGATGCTCTGATAGCACTGTTAGGTTGTGTCTGAAGGGGTTTAGAATAATAGTACAATAATTGAAATAACGTGATTTTATTAGATTGGAGGAGAATAGTACATGGCTTTGTGTACATAGGATTACAGGCTATTGGCCTTCTCGTGGTGTAGCTATTGGGAATTGTAGGCTATTGGCCCTTCACTTGTGTAGCTATTAACTACTTCATATCCTGCTTGATAAAACAAGCCTTTATATGGCTATTGGCTTCCATGTGGCCACCTTGATGACTTAGATTGGTGAGCTCTTAGCTCCACTTTGTTGCTAGATTGCTTGCAAAGTTATAGGCATTGTTGCCGACTTGTCTAAGTTCCACTGACTTGGCTTATTCTTCTTAGCCACAAGTTCTGCCACTACTCCTTAGATTATATACTAGAATAAACTCAAAATCATTTCTAATAGGACTTGTCTAGGGCATGAGCTATCCTTCTGGGATATTTTTTTACCCCAAGCCGACATAGCCTCTTCTTCCACCAAGCTTTCTAAAATTGTGCAGATCCCTTTCAAATGCGCGCATTACTTTTTAACAAAAATAAAGCAATATTAGTTGTATTTCTCATTTCAACACACAGAAAACAAAATGATGACAGCTTCATGGAAGCAAGTGCATCACTACTGCATCACTACTGGATCATATTTCTTTTTTTGGGTACACGTTTATTTAAAGTCTTTAATTAGTATAGAACTTATTTTTTGGATCCTTCCATTGAAAAGTCATCAATAGCTACAATGTTCTATCAACTCATAGTGCCTATATAAGTGAGCTCAGAGCTCATACAATTTCACATGCTCAGAGAAATGGGGATCTCACACGTAAAACTAGTTCCAGTTCTACTTTTCATCCTTCTCAATTCTGTTTGGTGCACAACTTCAAACTCAATTTCTGAAAGCTTTCTTCAATGCTTTTCCTCCCACATACATTCTAAGTCAACAAGCAAAATTATTCTCACCAGAAAAAGTTCTTCTTATTCCTCAGTCTTGCACTCTTCCATACAGAATCTCAGATTCTTGAACACTTCAACACCACAACCAGAAGCTATCATTACTCCTTTTCGATACTCTCATGTTCAAGCAGCTGTAATTTGCTCCAAGAAAGAAGGCATACAAATAAGAACCCGAAGCGGGGGGCATGACTATGAGGGCCTATCTTATGTATCCAAATCTCCTTTCATCATAATTGATCTTTTCAAACTTAGGTCCATTGATATTGACATAAAGAATGAGAGGGCTTGGGTCGAATCGGGCGTTACACTCGGAGAGTTGTATTACGCAATTGCACAGAAAAGTAAAGTCTATGGCTTTCCAGCAGGGATTTGTCCAACTATTGGTGTTGGGGGACATATTAGTGGAGGTGGCTTTGGTACCTTGTTCAGGAAATATGGTCTGGCAGCTGACAATGTCCGTGATGCTAAGATTGTCGATGTTAATGGCAGAGTTCTTGACAGAAAATCCATGGGAGAAGAACTCTTTTGGGCTATTAGAGGA